AACTGATTTTTTTTAAATTGGGTAAATTGAGTAAAAATTTTTTTTCATTATTTTTCTATACCTGTTTAATAACACTAAATATAAATATTTTCCTGAACTAGACTCGCGCGGAAGTCCATATTACTGGTTATTTCGTTAGAATTATTTTGTTGAATTCCGCTATTTAGAATGTGTGACTGCCAACACTCGAAGATTGGCCACCACTATTACTAACAGAAGTTCCACAATCTCCCATATTTTTTCCATGTTTTGAAAGTTTGTTTTGTCTTCGCCGTTTGGGTGTCTAACGCATTTTTATCTAATAAGTCCTTGATGCATTTTTTATATTACATCCACATATTTCAATATATTTTGTAACGCATTTCAAGTCATTATATTATTATGTAGCATTAGCTTTTTGCCAGGTACGCATCGTACGCGTGAATTTTAGAAGTCGGAAAAGCAATAAAATAGACCCCTTTTAGGTGTATCACGATAAAACATACACCAGATTTCAGACAATCGTGAAAACCGAATCTAATTTAGTGCAGTAGTTTTTTAATATTGCTGGAACAAACCTACAGATAAACAAACAGAAAGACAAAATTTATAAAATTATTAAGACCCCCTCGAATTATTTTTCCTTAATATCTTCCATATATATACAACGTTTAATAACAACTTCATTATGTTAGTAAGAAATAAGATTATTTATGTATCATGACCGGTATTTTTGTTTGGTATATGATTTAATCAAATAACGAAATTGAAAATAACTTCACTCTATTTTTAAACGGTAATTTTTTTCATAAGATTCTTTTATATGAAAGAGTTTACTTCACACGTATCTAGGTAAATTTTATTTTATTATTTATTGAGCATAATATACTTGCGATTGAAAATGTGAAAATTACTATTTTTTTCCTAATCTCCAAAGAAAAAAGGGAACACTAGCTTTACTTAAGTCCTCGTCGTATTATATATTTTTGGAAGACTTTTTATATAACTAGCTATTTAAATTACTCTAAAGATTATTATTAAAATTTGTTTATAATATCTTATGACAAAGAAAAGATGCAGAGGTGCAGAGACATTACACCTAGTCCTCATGAATGAACGTATGTGCGACACAGTATACTCTCTTATGTCCATGGTAGTATTCATGTCTGTATACAACGGTTACCATTTTCATCAGTAGAGAATATTTTTTAATATAGGGATACAATTTAATATTTAATTACAGTAGTTTATATTACACACAATAATAGATAAGTATACTAAACTCATGTAAAATACAAAATAGATACGAATAGAAAAACAATTGAAAGAATAAAGTAACTACTGCAATACAACTAAGCTAGTAAGATTCGCGATACATTCTCCTTGACCGAACAAATGTATTGCGTACACAGCACATTTATAGAATTTTTCAGATATTTCTAATTTGTTATACAATTGTAACCTTTGATGTTTACGATAATTAATCACGAGTATAAAATTACCATAAAACAGAAGCTCGATCTATGTCAACACGAACCTCGAGCCACAGGTTGTTTGTTGCAGTGACATGCGGCCTGACCCAAGCTACTTTCCCTATTACCAATCAATTTCAAGCTTTTGGTCAGATCAAGAGATAAGTTGAAAGAAAAAATATTTATGGAAATTGTTTAATATAGAGATGACTTAACTACATATTTATATATAGTCACTTAATTTTGTTTCATAAAATATTTCCACATGGGCAAATTAATATGAGATCCACAAGAAAGCAACCATTGGCAAACATATTACACCTTACAATATACGAGTATATATGGTATAAAAAAAATACAAAGTTTAAAAATTTCTATCATATTAAACTCTGTTTAATAAAGTATAACTAATGTTAAAAAAAGTTTTAATAATGACCAAAACATAAATTTATTTATTGCAACGTTTACACAAACTTAGGTAAAGGTAAAGGTTATTTAATCGTAGCTAAATTAGATTTCACAAGTAAGTAAATATTTGACACTCTTGACTGATCTAAAGACGAAAAAACTAACAAACAACAAACTAAGAAATTATAATTTGATAAAGTAATGTCAGCAAGAAAATTGCACCTGCGACTACTAATCTAAAATTATAAATTCATAAAGTATATACTAAAAAAGACTATTATTATATAGTTATGTGTTATTATATATAGACATAGCAGTTTTTAAGAGAAGTTAATAGAAACCACTTTTATTTTGTAAATTAATTTAAATAAATGTAAATATAATTTACCTAATTAATTATTCCAAAAATCGTTACGATTCTAAATAATTAAATTATACAAACCTAAACCTAAACTACTGAACCGATTTTGATATAAATTCTTAGGCATTAATCTATAATTATATCCGTTCATATAAAAAAAATAGTTTACAACTGATGGAGTTATGAGGTAATAAACATTCAAAAATCTACCGTATTTAAAATCTTCCTCTTTTTGAAGTTGGATAAAAGAATAGACGGAAATCTTACAGGATATGTTCTGATTAATTGAGAATTCTATCGTGTTTGTGATTGATATTATAAAATATTTTGTTAAAATAAAATAATAAAATAGTATGATCTAGACGTTTTCAAAGTATTTAAGAACTATCAAGATCTGAAATGAAGATTTAGCAAAATGTCTGACTAGGTGAATTTATGACTACAGAACATTTCAAACGCTATCATTACAAATACATAAAAAAGGTTTCATGTAAATGGAATTTACTGCATTTATTTGTTTCATAATTATTATTTTATCGAAATAAAAATTAAGAAAGATGCAGGAAAATAGAAATCTAAAAGGATAGGTGCATAATTATATATTCTCCTGTTTGTGTAATCGCCAATTGGAAATTTGTTCATTTTAATTTCTTATCTAGTCTGTTCAAAAGAATAGATTCCGTGAGTATCGTATAAAGTAGATGCCTTCTAAAGCTCACGACTCTACGCGTGGTTGAGCAACGTTTCGCAAAACGCTTTAGAGTTCGGCGACAATACCGTGACACTGCGACAAACCGCGACGAAAGACAAACACTTGTTATCTTATGAATAACACCGATTATGTTAGGTAAACATACACGTACGCGTTCAATGCATTTTTCACAAAATTTTATCATTCACAGCATGTGTGAAATTTGTTACTAATAAGTATAACATGTTTCGTTTGTTTGTTGGAGCACTGTAGGTCTTATCCTATGTAACATGTTTTACTATTATATTTTTATGAGTTTATGATATATCTACTTTATAATTTGAGGGTATGATTTAATATAGAATAAGCTAATCAATATTTGTTATAAGTATTTTATCTGTTTCTTATATAGAAAACGCAAATAGTGCTGGCTCAACATTTATTATACTAAATATAACGAATTACATTCGATAGGATCTTCTAGATTAAATATTACTATTATTATAATTTAATAAAAAACTGGTTACGTATACGATTTTAATAAAGCGATTAAATAATATCTCATACTTCAAAATCTTTCGAACATTAGAATATGATAGTATTATTAAGTCTATGGATTATACAATACGAATACAATATATTCTAATGTTTTGAAATAATTTTAAACAGGAATGTTAGAACTGCTCGGGTTACAACGGTGTCGAGCTATGTGAGAGTGCTGCATCGTAAAAAAATTTATTAAGTGATAAAATATTTTTTAAATAATTACTTTACTAAATTCTCTACCTTTCACTGTACCTTTTTAAATTCTTTCACTATGAGTACATAACTGTAGATTATTATTTTCAATGTACTTAGAACCTATTACATTGAATTAAAGAATTAGGCGATTAGATTGCACTTCACGAGGATCCTGCTCCGATACTACTTATACTACAATTTACGCATTTGATGACTGTGGATAAATTGGAAAAGGAAGAAAAGTGAATGCAAAAAGGTTTACAGGAAAAAACAGTAAAGAATAACATACTGTTAAATCCCTATTTTTCTAAATAATTTAATATGTATGTTTTATCTAACACGACAAAATAAATGTCTACTCGTATATAAATAATGGTCTCATATTACTCTAAAATTTTTCTTCTAAACCTGTGCACCTATTGGACGAAACTATCAAAGTAGGTATGAAAATATGTTAGATGTCCATGTGCCATACCTAGGTACGAAATCGATCATGCCCCCACGCGATATGTGAGAACATTAAAATAATACTCGTATTTTTATACTAGATTGTATTCCCTAGGGGAAAGTATTCTCTTGATGATTTCTATCAAATAATTTATGCAAACCCAAAAACTGAATATGCTTTCTCTTAGCGTAGTCACTATAAAATTTGGTATACACTTAGAATAGATCTACTTAATGGTAGCACATTTCTAAATTTTTCATTTACAATACAAATAATCTATAACTTTAATATTTTATGTACGTAAATAAAAATTTAATAAAATATTTATCTATTTTTAAAATGTCAATATCTTTTCCAATATCCATTCTAAAGACGTTTAAATAATTACAATATTTATTATTAAATGAGTAAAATATAAATATTAAATAAAATTAAATATAGTTACGTACAGATAAAACATTAACACAAAGGACACTTTTTTGCTAATTCACGCTGGCAAAAATATCACTTCAAGACGCGTATTTTCGTCTTAATATATTGATCTAACTTAACACTTGTAATTAAATTAATAATGAAATAACACTCAGTTATCCAAACAAAATATCCAAGAAAGCCGATTATCTAATAGAATTGATTATTAAAATTGACGAATTGCTGACACAGAAAAACAACGTTTCGATTTACGATTTCGGGGCATTGTCACTTTGAGCTAGCATTACAAATCAATACAAGACCATTACGTAGTGGACGTTGTCCTGCATATCGTATGGAGATTTGAAACACCCTGTTCGTGCATGTGGCGGCTGGTGTAGCACGAATCACCTAGTTGTCGCGCCTATTGTCCACATGCGGCCGGCCGCTGGGTGAGCCCCTACTTCGTATTACCTCACACTTTCAATATTGGGTTACGAGAATTTTACTTCAAGGTCCTCTTTTGGGAGTAAATAGAGGTGGTATAAATGCAAAGACGAGCAACAATGGCACACAGTTGACGTTCAGTAGTTCGCATGAAAATGAATGCGTTCGCCGTTTTACTCTTGTGCAGTGTCGTGGGTACGTGAAGTGATAGTATTAATTTTATTGGAAAAATTATGTGCTAATTAATTAGTTCCTTTTCATACAATTTATTATGTAATTAATTAGATTCATTATTAAATAATGTCAAACATTTTAATCTTAAATAATATTAAATGTGTTATTAGTGTTGTCTATAAAATACTAAATGCAACTTTAATAATTTGACTTTCAGGTAGTGCTGTAGGGTACTACACGCAAAGAGTAGCTCCCTACAACACTGGACCAAATGATCCCTACGCAGCAGCTGTCAATCCCAACTTTGTGCCAGAACCATCACAACGCCTATTTTGGAATAGGCAGGGTGGCAGCAATCAAGTCGGCGGCACAGGATTATGGGGCATGTTAACAAATAAATACCCATTTTTGGGAAACATGTTCGGCCGTTTAGAGTTACCGCAACAGGGTGCCCTAGGCCAATATAATGATTTAGCTGCACAATATGGTCCACCCGCCAGGTTTGAGCCTCAATATTACCAAGCCCAACAATTTGCCCAACAGCTCCCCAGACAATTTGGACAGAACTTCGGTCCATTCGGCCGCGACGTTGCTTTGACTGATGACGCTGTAATAGTTACACCACCCCAGGTGCCAATTGGACCGCAGCCTGTACCAGCGCCAGCGCCTGCACCTTTCCCAGTACCTGCTCCAACCCCCTCGCCGCAACCGGACCAAGGATATCACTACAACAAGCCGCAGTACAGACTTGACTTACCTCACAAATAAATTGCAAATACCAATGATAGCTTAAGTATTTTATGGAGGATCTTTAGTTATTTATCTGTACTTAAATATTTATTAACTATTCCTGTCACTACTGAAATACGTAATTGGAATACGTGATGTAAAAAAGTGCAGATAATAGTTTGTGTCGCATGCACAATGCATCGTTATTTTTTATGCGAACTGCCTGAGGTCTTTATTTACTTATAGAGTGCAAGCGACAACGAAACGGTGTCAGAAATAACTGATTTTACATGTGTTATATATAAATAATAAAAAATTATATATTGTTAGCATTTTCCAATTTCACTATACGCCTAGTAATTCAATAGAGAAATGACATCTATAAACTTTATTAGATATTACATTATCTAGGTATGGTTATAATATTTTTTTTATATATTTTCATAAGGTAATATAATTTTACATTATTTTTCAGCAGAACATTTAATTCAATTTTTTGGTATAGATTAAAATTACGTGTTTCATGTTTTCTTTTACATATCTTATTAGGTATTTACTGAACTATATTTACCAGCGCAAAAAGCTCTCTTAAAACGTACTGACACATTTTATTTACTAACTAAATTATTTATTGTCTTTAATTGTAATCTACCGCAATAAATCCACTATAAATGAATTATATTTTTATTTTATTCTACTCATCTCATCCTTTTAGTAATGATACATATCAATACATACAATACATAGATTTCAATATTTAAAAATTTAAAATAAAATTTACTTAAGAAAAATACCTGTAAATTAGTAAATACCATTTTAAATAGGTATATTTCTAAATAACAAATAATATAGTAGGTTACATAGAGAGAAACGATTTTACTTTTACCATTAGAAAAAATATTGTTAAAAGTTCTTACATAAATGACACGTACTTATAAAAAATGCCACTTATCCCCACGAGGGCATAGGTTGCATATTACATAGTAAACAAGTGAAATAAGAGAATTATATAGTTACTTAGTTTTTTGTCGTACTTTTCATAATGTAATAAATTATCATGTAATTTTTTTACTTTTCGCCTTCTTTTATTTTTTTTATACCACTGAGATGGCAAATAAGCATACGGCCCACCTGATGGTAAGTGATTACTGTAGCCTATGAACACCTACAATACCAGATTTTTTTAATTTAGTAATATCATATAACATAATCAAGTAATACCAATATAAATATAATAATATAAAAAGAATTTTGAAAAGAAATTTAATTTGCATTGTAAATATTTACTTTTATTTTATAAGGTGCTTGGCATAATAAACAACGAGCGTAAAATATTCATATAATGTCATACAATAAATCTTAATCAAATGAAACATGGTAAGGTAGGTATGTACCATCCATATATTATTATTTCACAACACTTAATTAACGATGCTGACAAGAAAAATAATATGATATGTGTAATTACTATACATTTTGGTGCCAAATCGGGTAATGTAATGATTTGTGTTGAACGATTCATTTAGTCGACAGAGGCGTACTGGGCATAATAACCTACACCTGAGGAGTCGAGATCGACCGAAGAGCCAGCGCTGACCGACCTCGCACCATAGACCGGTCCAGACCGACGATATGGCTGACCAACACTGCAAGGAAAACAACGGAATGTATAATGCAAAAGCATTATGTAATAAAAAATTTAAAAAGTTGATTTATGGTCGGATAGTTCTGTGCGTATCAACTATGTACTTTTATGTTACAATCCATATTTAAATATATTCAAAAGAGACGTATTGTAGCTACGTGGTATAAAAATATATTAAATATACATCTATATAAAAATATAATAAATTATGATACGAGAGCGTTCCGGCAATTACAGTAAGTATTTCCGTAATCTCAAGTGACTCACAAACGCAATAAAAACTTTTAAGATTCCGTAGTCAAATGATGAAGTTGTAGTTAGTTGCGATATTATAAGAGGAACTGAAAATTTATATTTTGGTTGTATATAGCCGAAGCTACATTTAATCATATCTTTGCAGATTTCGTCATGAAATACCGTAATATGAAAATTCTAGAGAGTAAAACAATTGCTTTTCTTCCCTTCTTGAATTTAATTAATATCATTATTTATAAAATAAAGATATGATTAAATGTAGCTTCGGCTATCGTGTATGGCCGAAATATAAGATGCCAGTTTATACTAATATTTTAATATTTACTATTATTTTTATATTATAAAGATACGAATATAGACTAGAATATAGAATATCCATTAGCCTCAAGAATATAAAGTTAGATAGGTATATTACCAATGTACTATTGATATTCATTGAAAAGACGGTATAGAAGCTTTTAACAACAAGTCAAGAACCCTCACATCAGTTGTATAATATAATAAATAATTCATTTTAGAATTTTTCATAGATGGTAAAAAGGTATAAAAATAGCATGTACTAATTAATAATTATATGTACAAATTAATAATTTATAACTAAGCGGTTTTCGGCCTTTACAATCTTCTCAATATAAAATACTTTGTGGTATATAAAAAAAGTTTCATTATCTTTATTGACAAATGCTATGAAATGGAAAAAATTAAGTAAATGTACATAAAATAAAAAATATTAAGTAAATTTTTTACTGTTTGTATTTGCATGAAAAAAATATATACTTTCATGGCTAAATTGTTTCTGTTAATACGAATAAATAAATATTAAAAAATTAAATCACATAAACAGAAATACACCGCAGAGAAACGGAACCCTATTAAAGTTTGTTCGACATGCTTCTGGTTTTACTTATTTATATTTGTTCATACCTACCTTTCAATGACGTGATAGCCTCCGTAAGTATCTAATTAGTTCTTTGAATCCTTTATCATATTAATGATTAAGGATATATATAAGATATATATATATAGTAGGCTACTAAAATTTTTAAACGTGTGTCTAAATTCTAAAATATAGAAAAATGGCAAAAAGCGTTGAAAAGTCTCGGAATATATTTTCATAAAAAATAAAATTGCAGCAATACATTTTTGATAATTTTATTTAACTAGTCGGAAATCGAAGATGTTAATTTAAACAAAAATTTGTAAATAAAGTACTTACCTATTTAATGTCAGGAACTAAAGAAAATAGCTATTTTTAAACAAATATATCGAAGCTCCTACTTACAGAAATTCCTATGGATTCATATTCATTTTGTCAAAATTGAAAATTATTCTAAAATAAATTCTTAAATAATTTGGATTGTAAACTATTATAAAGCAAACTGCACGAGATTCACGTAGGCCTTTAAATTTTAAGGAAGTGTTCTACCAGAACCGAAACATTGTTCTGCATGGTTGCCCCTTTGCAAAAGCTATATATGCAAATTCAGAGCTATGGAGAGAGCTATGCTCGGTGTTTCTTTGCGTGACAGCCGAAATAAAGATATCCGCAAAAATAAAAACAAAGTGACCGACATAGCCCGAAGGATAAACAAGCTGAAGTGTCAATAAACTATTCACATAGCTCGAAGAACTGACATGAAATTTCTATCTAAATATGTGTTCTATAGCAAGTATAGATTTTTATAAGTAGGTTCGATATCACCCTGTATATTTTACGTATTTGGTGAAAATAGCACATGATCTGCATAGTTACTAGTATAGAAAAATTTATAGCTATATCAGTCCCACTCATGTTTGTTTGTGTATTCGCTAAGTAACTGTACTTACATGACTGTTCCTATGAAATGTTACAGTGAAAATGAAGCATTAAAATTACAGGATACACTACATTACACGGGAAGAGGAGTGATTGTTTGTAATGCGGAGCTCATTGCTAGCCATATATTATAAACAAAAAAATATACCCAATCAGTTACCTTCTCGTGGTCTCTTTCTGAAAACCATTTTTAGTGAATTGACCACGATAGGCCCACTATCCTGACTTCATTCTCATTTATCATCGCTGACTGGTATCCTACCAGCACAGACTGGCTTATCACTTCATTTTAACCCTATCAAAAATAATACAATAGTTCTTCAAAAACAGTACAATAGGTGTCACGGTCTATTTTATTAAAACCATATTGCAGTTATTGTTCTAGATGAAGATCGCCATTTTCCATCAAGCGTTAAAAAACGTAGTCCAATACATGAAACATTAAACAAGTATAATCTTATTTAGGAAAACTAAGAATCGTAGCAGCTTTTTTTGTTTCGTAATTCATAAATTTTACTAATATAGTAAAATTGTAACTAGACGATGTCTGTGTATAAGAGATATTTAAGACAAAAAAATATATTAGGAAAAGAGCAATAGAAGTCATAACAATATTCTTTTAGTCTGTCTTTAGACTATCTGTATATTTGTTCCGGCGTCAAGAAAAAGTAACTGCATCAATTTAAATGTGGTTTTTACTATAGTATTTCTAATAGTTTAATTAAAAATGAATAAATTTAATTAAATCTGAAAGTAGATGTATACTTCCAAAATACACGCTTACGAAGTTGCGCGTAGAAGCTAGTGAGTAGTAATACTATGTATATACACTGTATATATACCATCGTAAACCTACACTTACTCACCCATAGATTATAAAAGTATAGTTGAAAATTCTTCATATTTTTCTATTTATATTGCCTGTTATGTATTATAACTTTTTAGTGCTGATTAAAAATGAAGAAGCCAATAACAGTTAAGTCACATTTATTAAAACTAAAATATTAATTACAATAAATATTAGTTATCTTCCGGCAGTTGCACGGCATTGTGGGTACGCTGAGGCGGGCTCGTGCGTGGCGCGCAACTGATGGAAAATGAATTCAGGATGGATGGAGCCGACACCGAGTTGTTAGTCTAATGATACGTCGCCTCGCCTACTGCCTATAGAACACAGAAAAAAATTAATAAGTTAGTCATCTTGTTGATCTAATTTATAATTAAACAGACAAAACATTAAATATTGATAAAACATTAATGGACCGCCCTTTCGGTGTCTTAAAAGACGACTAAAGGAACTTAACGGTCGAGGGATGGGCAACAACGTCCCTCTTTTGTATTGTATTGTTTGGCTTTTGGTTATGTTTTACATAACCAAAAGCCAAACTGCGGATGCAATTTTCCGTGGTAACTTACCATTAGTACGTTACGTAGTACCACTGGTAAATATTAGTAAAATCCCCTTAATGATAAAGTTCCACAGAAAATGGTCCCGTTCTTTATGGCAGTCTATGGAGAAGGTCCTATGTTCAGCAATGGACAGATAACGGCTGATATGGTATGTTGATACGGTTCATAGATTTTCCCCACTGCCAATATGTAAAAGGTTCCCAATCACACATAATTACTGCTGTTCCCCACAAAAAAGTTTATATAGCATATATTATTTATTACTACGTAACTGATTTTAAAAACTTTCAACTAAAGAAAGCTACATTAATAGCGAGTAACATATGCTTTATATTATTTGAAAAAAATTTAAATCCTTATAAAAACTACAATAATCTATCACATCTTGAGTTACATTATAATAGATACTAAATGTAAGAAAAATATCACGGTATAAGTGAAAAATCTAATTATTGTGGTTATATACTATTGATCTAAGTACATATTTCAAATTCTAATTAATCTTTCTATCTAACCGAAACCGGGGCGAATCGCTGGTAAAATTATAAATAAAAAAAAATGTTTATTACTTCTTAACGGTTCAACCAATAGTCATGAAATTTGGTATACACGTACTCTACGAGATGAAGACGGACGTGAGCTATTTTGTGTGAGTGTATAAGTGAATAGATATTCCCGAACACGCAGAATAAGATTCAGATAAAAGTATATCTGAAAATTTTCATTATTAGTCAATGAATACGTATAAGTAGTATTATTATAATTTTTTAATGACTTGTAAACTCATGAATTCGTAAACTGACATTCATAAAACACAAAATATTTTCTTTTTTTTTTAAATCTAAGTTATATTTTTTGTTATCACAACGCCTGCAAACGACAAATGCTTTAACTGTCTAATTAGCCCATTTATGAAGAAAAAACTAATATTAATTCATAAACATATTAACTATTTTTACTTTTAGTCAATCATATCGTGTAAATATGAATGAATGAATGAATGAGTATACTTTATTTGCATTATACAATATAAGAAATAAGCAAGGCAATTTACAAACACAACGATACAATTGTATAAGTACAGTAAGGCGGTCTTATTGCTGAGAGCAATCTTTTCAAGACAACCTTAAGGTAATAGACTAATTGTTGTACAAGTAGGTACATAGATAAATAACAACTTTAACGTAACAACATAGGTAAACTTTAGTTGTTACACTAATTCATAGAGTACAAATAATTATTGAACTTGATCTATTCACTGTAATACCTATTTAGCAATAAATTAAATTAAATTTAAAGATAAAAATTACCTCAATGTGTTCAAATTTGAACCCAAACCCAACGGAGGCACTGCCCAACCACCAGATCCTGATCGTGCATGGGCCTTAGCATGTGCATTCGCGTTGGCATTCGAATTACCGCCATCTGAAATATTAAATATATTAATTTTATTATTTAATAACAATAATTTATTACGCAAAATATATAAACTAATTTATACAATAAAAAAATTTGCAAAAGGCTTTGACCTTAACTATTCCATGCCGGTTCGCTACTCTATTGTTAGGCTATTTTGAATGAACTGTATACCAATAACCAATAATTTTTAATAGAAGCTACCTATATCAATATGGTGTGGGTCTTTTAATAATCACTTGTATGATTTAAAACTATTATGAGGACAACCTTTTTACCCATATGTACATGAATGAAGATACCAGATTATAAATTATTATTTTACATTAAAAGTCAATACGTAAAGGTTGTAATATAAAATACATTAAATATCATTAGTGTTATTTGTTCTATAATATTTAAATTTAATTTATATTTAACTATCATTCTTTCACTATTATATTAAAATTAATACAATAAATTCATATCTAAAAGTTCACCTCGTTTGGGAAATTTTAATTTCATTATGAAAATTTTTGCATTGAAGAATAGCACTAATTATTTATTGTATTATAAGACATTGTTTAAACAAATCGAATCCACTAATTTAACAGTTGGTTGACTAAATGTTTAGTTGACCTGTTTTTGATCCTGGATGTATCTCTATATAATCTAAATAATTATATATATAATCTAAAGTAATTATATGTAAAGCTTAGATTATAATATAAAGATATAGATTTTTACATAAATACATATATACATACTTTCATAGGAAAGACATTCGATATTTAAATTATTACTAAAATGGATGTGCTTATAAAATAGTATACTTATTACTACCTATAATATTACTAAATATATTTAATTTTCATTTAAGTAGATAAACTTATGATACACGAATTATAGATACAGTTTCTAATTTTAAAGTTTGACTTTGTAATGGTTAATTACACATTTTATGTAGAGCAAATTGGAGAATAACGGAAAAACATGATTTCAATCAGTCTAATTATACTATAAGAAAGTGGGTACAAATAGCTCAATCATTTTTTATTGACCGTATGTAAAGTTTAGTTAACCGGTGTCTATGAGAGGGGACCGTTAGGTGAACGGCGAAGCGACGCCGGCGGGAGGTAACGTAGGCGCTCTCAACTTCGGAACGTGACCACAATGTCCATTAAGTTCCTGCTTACACTGTTCTAGATACAGTATTCTACGAACTGTGTACCAATAACATGGGCATTGCATACTGAAGAGACCCAGAATCATTTTATTATAGCCATAAATGCGTTCTATGTTCAATATCTTTTATTGTGTTCTTAGAGATTTTTTTTTTATTTATTTAAATCAATGATGTAGCACATAATTGAAAACTAATTAACAAAAAAAGACTTGAAATTCACAAGAATGAATTTTATTCTAAATTTAAATGTCTCTTTCAGTTATCAAAGAATCAAGAATGTTGACTGCATTTCCTTTTTGGATAGCAACGATAACTCTTTTCTTAAGAAACCTATCAGTTCCTTCTTACTAGTTGTAGAAATGTGAGTTAGCACATCAACTCCTTCAGCGTTGTATTCCACGAAGGTACTAATAGTTTAAAAAGTAAGTTCCGCAAATATATGTATATGAGTTACACGGAAATTTCATTGTTTTTCGACCGTTTACATAGTAAATTTTGATAAAATACATTCTGTTTGCATAAGAAATAAAAACGAAATTTTATAAATGCTTTGTAATTAAAAAGTTTCTATCATTTGTTTACTTATCTAAACTTGAATCAGCTTTATTATTATTAATTACTTATACCCATTGAATTCGTGACTTTAAAATTTTATCATGAATCGCCAAACTATTGGTTTCCGTTATGAACGAATAACTGTATGTGAGAATAACAAAAATATAGCTATTAAAAGTTAATTTTCAATCTATCGATATATATTAATTAGAATAACATTTAATTATAAATAACAGAATACATTATATTATATATACCTAATACAAATATATTAATAATAAAAATGCTGCGTCATGCACGTTTACGGTAATCTCTAACCACTTGACTGATTTACTTGAATTTTTCTAAATGTATTGTTTGAGAGACAAGTTGGTTTTTATTTTATTTTAGAAAAATGGACTCGGTGGGTAATAGTAGGAACCAATACAACACTTGCTGACACAGCTGAGTAATTTTTATTTATTAGAAACTCAATCTCTAATATTAGTGGTTCATACTAATGTGTGTATTTATACATATTTGATTATAATAAAAATTACCTAACAAATCTTTAGAAAGAGAAACGATATTAATAATTTGTTATACTCTGGACTCACAATGTAGGGTCAATGTTATTTTGCTTCCTTTAATAGAGACCTATTGACAGTACCTACGCTGAATGCTTTTAACTAATTTACAACTTAGAAACCCAAGTTAATATTGATGTTTCAATGTCATGTCACTATGTCTAAATTTATTATTTTTATTGTTCTCCACCACTAATGTTGAACTTATAAATATTCATTACCATTGTTTATAAATAGGCCAGTAATAGAGAATCGTATTTAATTATTATTACTATTATATGAGAGATATTTAATAAAAATTAATATGAAGAGTTTTAATAATAATAATAAAGGTCAAAACAATATTTTTTAGAAATCTTATCTATCTATATTTTTTTCGGCATAACCCAAAATTTACTGCACAAAAATGAATGCGGTTCACAGAGTGTTGTGCTTGAAGATCTAACGTAAAAACTAATGCATATTTTATCGCGATCGTGAAATGGTCGGTTTCATTTATTACCTACTTCTGAAATCCTAGCGGGCAAAAAACTAATTTTTAATATTTTATATTTTGTGATAAGTACGTATATAAAGCATAATTTTAATTGTTTAAATGTGAGGATAACCATTTCCACCAAATGAATGTTTTATGACATACATTTTAATGAAAATAGAGGGATATAGTACCTATATAAATACTTATACATGAATAAATAATAAAAAAAATTTTTGCACTATAAACTAGGCGACACGGTCTATCATGTTTGTTTAAACTCTGTTATAGATGATATTGAATAAATATAGAGAATTTAAAAAATAATCTAGTATACTCACTTGAATCCGCCTCGGCCTCAGCATTTGCATTAGCGTTGGCATCAGCTCCACTATGCATATAAGGATATGGACTCAGGGAACGACGCAAGCGACGCAGCGGTACCGGCGCAGACGCATGCCCCTCTGCGTCAATGGTGTAATACGCGCGTGGTACATAGAACTGGCCTTCTGAAAATGTGAATATAAAAAATATATAAAATATTTTTCTAATGAGACAATGATAAAACCCACTCGCTACATACGACAAACATTTTTAAGATAACAATTTTTAATCGTGTACTCGTAAACGAGTGTTATTCTGAGATTTCTACCACTTTCCACAACGCCAGTCATCACTTGAGTAGCTACAAGTACAACAGTGATTTTAACAATTCGAGGATTTTTTTTTAATTAATGATATTGAAATGGTAAGCCTGTCGGCGCTATTAATATATATTGACGAGCAATGGAGCTGTTCGTTCTCCATGACCAACAATCCCTTTCCCCCTAAGACTACAGAGTTTAACTTTATGAAGTTATCTGAGTGAAATATCTAACATATTTATTATTTAATTTTCTGCAAGATGACAACAATTTAACTCAGGACCATTTATCACACTATATCTATTAAATTTCATCAAGATTAATTTAGATTAACTTACCTAGACCTAATGATTACATTTTCAAAATTGTTACTTGTTGTGTATATATTACACACTAATATACTTTGCAAGCATCTACCAATCAGAATTACTTGAATGTTCCTATGTACTAAAATAACAAATCTGACATACTATATCTGTTTTACGACTTAAAACAGATAAAACCTGGTTATTCCTAAATATATTAAACAGTCGGTGGTTATAACAGTTCTATAGTTAAGATATATATATAGATAGATTTTATTTTTTTTGTGTCTACTTTTGACCTGTAATATCACAGCAAAACAAAAAATAAATAAAAAATGCTGCCTACCTAAACACCTACCTAAACAGGTTTGTACCCATTTATGGAATACATTTAGTTAAATATACAATGAGTTTACGTTTAGTAAGTGCTAGAGGTTTAACTCTGGTAGAGTTAAACCTCTAACTCTTCACTGAACGTGATGCTCACTTGAATAAAAAAACTTTACATAACTGTTAATTAATTTGTACTTCGTATTCAAAGAATGTACCAAAACTGGTTGTGCCTGTGATTTTGTCTGGAAAATGCTGATCGATTAATACTAATCAACATTTTCCAGTCACGCGGACGAATCAAGACATAAATAGCCTACCTACATATGTCTTTCTTCATGTCAATACTACCTACCTGTAATTACGCTAACTTCGTGACGATTGGTTAGACCGTTAAGTCACCAAAAGCTAAAAAACAAATGAACTGATTCTTATATTTATAATAATACATACATTAGTAATTAAATTGTATCTATTCTGGGACACGTTCATTACATGATAATATTAATATTATAACTGAATGAAAATTAACTCATGATAATAACAACTAAATAAGAAAAATAAGCGCTTAAAAGGTATTTATAAAATAAAGGTAAGACTTAACGTGTATAAATAATATATATAAAAAAACAAGCACGATTTACAAGGAAGGTTTAGTCAGCTTAGAAGTTGTGAGATCATCACAATCACGAACGAATTATCAAAGTAAACGAGTAGGTAGGTATATAACGTAGTATAATATGAAAAGAACTTGATTTGACCTCAGTACCGTGACCATCGCAATTTTACTTATTCAAAATCGATATTTATAAAATTAATAATAAGTTATCGAACACAAGGTTGACTCTATGCTTTGATGATGTCATATTGAAATTTAAGAAATACATATAGATACTTATTAGATATACATACAATGTTCTTTAACAAAAAAACTTAATAAACGTGGATGCAAAATATGCAAAGGGAATACATTGTTAAAATAACTAATCAAAATTATTATTATCATCTAAGCTTATCATTATCCAACTAAAAAAAGACCTCTCCCATATTGATGACTATCAGAATAATAGTAAATCTTGAAACGTTTATTTTCCTCTCCATTTGATAATAGGTCACCCTATTCAATATTTGCCTTACGAATTACCTGCGAGTACCTATAAAGCCTATTCGACTTAGATGATAGGTACTAAATATTTGATCCTAAAAAGCAAGATGCTCTGATAGTGATCTAAAGCTAATGTTTTCATCTAGTGTAAATATATGATTTCTTATGTTTTTAAAAATTAATATTTTAATTATTTCAGGTATTGCTAAATGTAGATATAGGTAAGATACTTATTTTCGGTTATTTTAACTTTATTGAATAATAATGTGGCGGGAAAACTGACTTATTGCTATAGATATTTTTTAACAGTAAACTTTTGAAAAGTGCAATGATAACAAAGGACATAAAAGATAAAATAATTCATTTGTCATTGATTTTATCTACATATTTATCTTAAACAAGAATCGAAACAATAAAAAAAATTGAACTTTCCAAATTAAGGCGGCACGTCCAATTATCAATTTAAAGGTACCTAATGGGAGGTTGAAATTTTTTAGTTGTCCTTCAAACCACAAAATAATAATTCCATATATAACTAATGTTTTCGATTATCAAACGGTATGAAGATTTATTCGATATTGTGAGATATCAAACACATCTCCACATTGAATAAATATAGACATTACCTATACTAATATATAATAGATGATATTATATAGAGCAGTTTATAACAGTACCTACCAACTAAATTATAGACAATCTGAATATGGTATGTATTTCTTTAAAAGGTGAAAATAGAATGGTAATACCACCTGTGTGATGATCGGTGAATCAGAAAGCAGGTCAGTTTGTCCATTATGACAAATTTACCAAGAAGTAATCATGATTACTGTATCACAGAGGATAGAAGAGGCAAAATGCTAGGCCATCTTATACGAGATGACGATTTTTTTAAAGAGCATAGTAGAAGGAAAAATAGAGGACAAAAGAGGAAGAGGAAGACCGAGGAATAACTACAAGGGACAGATAAAAGAAACACTAGGTGTCTATAGGGAGGTCAAGGATATGAACTGGGACAGAACTAGCTGGAAGAAGATGCATGAATTAGTTGCACCGACAAGAGGAAACTCTTAAATGAAAAGAAGATTGTAGTACAGGTTTTCCTAGTTCAGCCATCAGTCTCCACAATACATACACTATGAGTATTTTTAAGTAAATAATTTGTTCATACATTAAGTATTGTGGAGAATGAATAAATATTTTGAATTTGAATAAATATTTTGAATTTTGAAGTTGAGTGATGGTAGTCATGATGGTTCTAGGGGAAACCACGTGGAGGTCGACTTAATAGGATATATTGCTAGCAATGGGACTTTTGAATCTACATTACTAACAATCCGTCTTCCCTCACCTCGATTATGGTATTTCAAAGGTGGACGTATCGAAGTATCTTTCAGGCTAAAAGGTAGATACATACCTACCTAATGAGGGAGATGAATTCGTAAGTAGTAATTAAATTATTTCAACTAAATTCAATTAATTATGACATTGCACAAAGCAATTATTAAACTATGATATATTCTCTCTGTGTGTAGTATATCCTTAGAAATAATGTTCAGGTAAATAACAAGACATCTTATTTGATCCCTTAAAAAAGCCGCGGCCCTTGTTCATTATGATGAAGTTAGCGATCGCCACTGCAGTCAATTATTTAGTTATTTACGAAAACAATATTACCAATTTGGTTGAAAAAAAAAAACTGTCAAAAATTAAAAGCACTGGAATGCGATTCATCGAAGTCGGCGATAAAAACTGTGGGGCACTAACCTGCCAGAGCCATGGCCACAACGGCTACAAGTAATACGAATGTGACGGTCTGCATGTTGACAACAAGCCCACGCAAGTGCTGGAAAGGAACTGGTTTCTGCTCGTCCGTACTCAGCTATTTATGCAACTTCACTCTTAACAAACTTACCGGGCGACTGATGGATACCATGGCGCCTGCACATCTCCGCGAAAGTTAGTACTGTATAACGGTTTTTGGGTAGTGGCAAAACGAAACAACAAACTAATAATAAGCCTTGAAAATTGATAATCAATTCAATTATAAAAGCTTACTGGTCTGTGTATGAAAATTACTAAGTACTTATCATACCTATATAATGGGAATAAACCGTTACAAATAAATAAACCCAAAATAATAAATTAGATATCTATTGCATAAACTAAAGGCGAAAATGTTATTTTATCTATTATAAAAATATTAGAATTATTTATATTTTTTTAACAATGTAGTTCTTTTCATATTACACGTAGATAAATATATAGTTTTCTTAGCTCGAAAACTTTGCAATGAAGGAATTACCTTCTGGAATGCCTAGCCATTTTCCTAGAATACTTATCTACACCCACCTATGTAATCATAAATAACTAAGTAAGATAAATCTGTCTCAATTTGAATTTTATTTTACTATCTAATATACGAAAATTATGATTATTACCATGCTTAAACGATTGAATATATATATTATATATTATAATGTTTATCTGTCAGCATACCTATTTGTCCAGCATTTTTACATGTTTTTTTTATAGTTTTATTATTATCATGAAAAAAATTATGAAAAATAGATTATTTAATTTTTATCATTTTCTCCAAACTTAAATATCAACTACCACCATGACGCAGTGGTAGACAGGCTCGGGTTTGATTCTCAGTCACATCAATTTAGAAAACAAACTTTTGTATATTGAAATGAATATAATATTCATCAGTTTTTAAATTAAACAACAGAATATGATAATAAGAAATTATTTAAAAAAAAGAGCCTCCAAAATTATATCCCAAGTTGGAAGGTGACGTCTTCGACTCAAATGAGACGTCAGATTTAAATCATTTTAGGGTCAGTGACTGAAAATCGACGTCAGTGTGATGAATAATTGCTGTCTGAGATTAAACATGTATTTTTTTTTTTTATAGATGCAAATAAAATGGTAATCCCGCCTACGCTATCAGTAAACGCTGAGGGAACCAATGAAGGATGATAAATGAGGATGAAGTGGGTCAGTTGGCCCATTCTGATGAACTCAACATAATAATAAATAATCATCATAATAATAAATTAACCACGGTGGTTTCCACGGGGAACCGCGTGAAGATCAACCTGGTTGGAGTTGGGGGGAAGAAGGGATTGTTAGTAATGGGACTATCAACCTCATTGCTAGCAATATACCCTGCCAGATCAACCTCCACGCGATGATCTCTAGGAAGAGCCTAAAAACCATCATAGTTAATAATTCATCAAGGTGGGCAAATTGATCTGCTTCATTCTAACCTATCATCTCTCACTTATAGCACAGACGGGGTCAGTATTATATTTTTACCCATTAAAAAAACGATGCCTTTACCCCTGTTAGCCATGTTAGGAGAAAACAGAAAGAAGGGACAAGAAAGTATCGTATCTGTTACCTTCACTTACATGTGTTTTATTATTATACGTAACTGCCTCGTATTGTACATATATAAAAGTCCGCGTAGAAATTAAAAAAATAAAACAGAGAGTTCTTTTTTTTATTTTTCTGCGCGGACTTTTATATATGTACAAGGACTACTTAAAACATTATTTCTATTATCGATAGATTTGTTTTTTTTTGTCTTTGTAGTACTAAATTATAATTTACAATTTCATGCAACATTTAGTAAAACAAGCTTAAGTATATAAGATTCTACATAAATGACAAAAGCAGAAATATGTAGTTATAGCATGTAATTACTCATTACAAGTACTGTAATAAAAATGTAGGATACGTAATTTATAGCAAAGAACTAAAATAAATACAATTGTCTATAAAATAAGCAGTTTATTGTAATATTGTATTTGAGTGTGAATACCTATTAGATCATCTTACTTTATCGGTTAGCCATAGCTGCGTCACTACCTAGTACACGCGGCAGAGTGTTCACATTGGGTAATTTTCGCAATTTTGGGCAAAACTTATTCTGAACGCAAAATTTTGGAAAAATTAATTTTTTTGAGGCATTTTTGATAAAAGTGAAGTAAATTTAAAGAAGTTTGGATTATTTTTAATTAAATTTTGGGGGACAATTTTAGTGCTTCTAAACTATACACAGGTATATAAGATACATAAATGCACTTAAATATATACGACTGAACCGAGTATGGAATATGAGAACGAGGGAGAAAAGTAGATACAGAATGGCCTCTTTTTTTGTTATTCATTTTGTGGCACATGGCAGAAGCTAGTGAAAAACTTTACAACTGTGATAAGGTAAAAATCTTGGAAACCATATCGATTTGGAGAAAACATATTATATATATCTGGCAACCCTAACATGCCAACCGCATTGTTACACTAGTAAGAATTCAGGGTCTTAGGGACGCTAATACAAACATACAGGGGGGAAAGGCTAGCAATATGCCCTATTAGGTCGACCTCCACGTGGTTCCCCCTGGAAACCATCGTGAACAATTCTTGTTGAATTCGTCACGATTGGCTAACTGACTTGCTTCATCCTCACCTATCATCCTTCACTGGTGCCTCGCCGATGTATGCCGATAGCGCGGGTACCATTCCATTATCACCCATAAAAAAAAATACAAACATATAGACATAATTTCGAAAATATACTGTTTCTATTCTTAATTCGGCTTCTATTGCTTTTATAAACATCCCCCATACCAATTTTTCTTAAATATCTCCTTTGTACAAACATCGGCTAGATATAATTACATTATCCTAGTAATATTATAAATGTAAAAGTTTGTAAAGATGTTTAGATATTTGTTACTTCATCACAGTTCATCAGCTTAGCAAATTTGCCAACGCAAATGACATAGGTACTTTTTAACATAATTTACGAGGGCAAAGCCGTGGGTAAAAGCTAATAATTAAATATTTTTAAACCAGGAGGAATAAATAAAAACTAATACAGTAAGAAAAAATAACCACAACAATTTCTTAGGAGGTTGACGTGGAGGTCAATTTCCTAGAATATACTAATAGCAATAGGATGGGGGGAGGGGGGTTGTTAATATTGCGGACTACCAGTCTCATTGTTAGCAATATGCCCAAAAAAGTCGACCTCCACGTGGTCCCCCCTGGAAACCATCGTGCTTAATTCCAAGTGAATTCATCACGATGGGCTAATTGACCTGCTTTTTCATTCTCAACTATCATCTCTCACTGGTGCCCCGCCAGTGTATACCGATAACGCAGGCGGGGTTACATTATTATTCATTAAAAAAATAGCAATAGGACTGCTATTTCCTATACCTGTTGAAATCGATAGCAGTAGTATAGTTAAGAGAGCATTTTATCAATGATACTAAACATTTTTTTTTTCAATGAACCATAGATTAAAAACGGCTACACATTTTAAGCCCCTATACTAACACGACGCATTCAATTTAGATTCTTATATATGTAATTATGCACTTACGTACTAGAACCTTAAAGAAGCTTACCTATGCAGGTAGGTAGTTAAATACAATAATCAGTGGTGACAACTTAGCAAATAACCATGTCTTAATTTTTATTACTTATTTTAATGGTATACTTGGTAACCTACGTACCTACGACTAATGATTTGCTTTGTCAATAACTCATTATTGATGTTTATATAGGTACCTACAGAACTCCATGCGACTCTTATCAATACCTATTTAGAAACAAACAAATACTAGAGAAACTTTATTCCGAAAATTGTTACAATCCGCAGTTTTATTCACGAGATTTGCAGGTGAAAAACCGTCTGTGAATTTCATTCCTATCAAAATCATTATACAGATTCACATTTGGTCGTTTTGTATTCGTAATATTATGGATACCACCGAAATCGTAGTTACCTAACGATATTGTTTCCTTATAAAGGATTAAATCAGTTCTGAAAGCTTCATCTCATCTTTCTAATACTACACGGCCGTTATTTACTTTATATCCGGCCTCGATAGTAATGAAATATGGTAATGCACCTACTTTTATTAACATTTTAGTCATATGGTATCCACAACTGAACATTCTGCATATTATTATTGTATAATTCAAAATCTTAGCATTTTCAACAAAACGACTTCAAAAAAAAAAGAGGTTCTCAATTCGGTCATTTTTTATTTATTACTTCATAACTCGTTATTTATAAATCGATTCAGTGGTTTAGTTTTTAAATCAAAATAAGTTTTGCCACGTTTCAATTATTGAATGATGATTGATACGTCTATAAAGTACACAATAAACTCAGGGATGAATAGTGGAATATAACGTAAATAATAATAAACTGATAATTAATCTTACAAAATTTATTTAGAAATAATAACATCAAGCATTTAAAATTGACAATTTTCATGAAAATGATATAATAATTTATGAGCAGAATTCACAGTAGAAAGTATAATTTCCTTTATTGTATCACATTTAAGAATAACAATTTATTTAATCTCATTGTGTAGTTCAAAGAAAGTCTCAATTTACCTGCTTGAATGATATACATTAAGGTCATTGAAAACATTGAGTAAAAAATATATTATTTGATGAGCACCAAATAATTTTAAATAAATTGAAAGTATTAAATAAATCAGCAAAATAAATGTAGAAGTTTCCACAATTTAACTATAAAAATAAATCTGTACCGGAATCCTTTAGAAACAATATATATTTATTAAAATGCAAACAAAAAATGGAATTTTCATCGTTTAATGTGTATGAACACACAATACTTCATAATTCTTATTCAATATATTCATATAAACAACATTTTAACCTAGAGTTCATTTTATTTTACACTTTAGGAGATATTTTTACAACCCTGTATCCACTATACGTTTAATTACGATAGTATGTTTCGCAGTCTGAATCAATGTAGATTTTAAAATGCTTGAAACCATAATTTTATATTATAAAAAAATTCAACGCCACAAACTGTTTCCATGTTTTAAGCTAGTACAAATAATAATTTTCATAGAGTTCATAGTTCTGTCCCAAAGTCTTATTATGTCTACATAAATATAACAAGGTATGATAACTCAACTCACAAAATTTTAATTACGCGTAAATGCTATCAAACAGTCTGTCTTCGCATTTTGTGCTTCGACAATAGTTGATGGTAAGACTTAAGGAAGAAAATGAGATTTAGTTGTGGAAAGACTCAGTTTTGAGATGAGAACAACTTAACACGTTTAGCTTAGAGTCAAATTGAAATGATTAGAGTCAACTGTAAGTAGATGAATGTACGCCCTCACTTCGCCTTAGCGGCGGCGGCCGCCTGTCGTTGTCGCAACGTCTTGTTTGTGTTCTGGTCCACCTCGGGCAGGTCTGAGTCCTCGTTCACGATTTTCTTCACTAGTATATAAATTAATATTAGTTATTCAATATTACTTTAAATTTAAATATATTTATACATATTTAATTATAACTTATACATATATTATCATTATCGTAATAGATCCTCACTAATATTATATGAAAGTTTGTTATCTCTTGGCAACTTAACAGTTCAACCAATTGTTATGAAATTAGCACATATGTACTATTTGGAAGGGAGAACATAGATAAACAATATATTCCATGAGACCTGGAGGTTATTGCAAATAAAAACTAGTAATTACAAAATTCTTTAATAAATGATATATGTGCTACTTAACGCGCACGTGACACAGTGTTGAGATCGTTTATCACCATCAACCCGCAGTCATCATAATTCAATGTTTCTTATGCAACTTAGAACAAGCTGACGGCCTACCTGATGGAAGATGGTAACTGTCGCCTATAGACAAGTACAAGCAATATAATACAATATTTAAAACAAAAATTTTAATTTATTTACAAAATAATAGCTAGATGCGCCATAATATTTATATGTATGTAGGTTTATATGTATGTTAAATTCAGTAATACTTAGATTAAAAATACATAAATTGGTAAGGAATAAGAGAAAAAACATAGTAACACGTATCTGAAAGCGAGACGGAAAGACAACACAATATATGTATGTTCGAAAAGGATTTAGCTAGAATTAGGAACAAAATAAATTGCAATTATCGTTATGAGCATAATTAAGTATGCTGTATCTATTATTACATTATTTATATCAATTTTCCTCGCGTATTAATATGTGAATACAGCCGACATAAATAATTATACTTCAGTATTATTCACAATACTTATTATTCAACAACTTTCATAATATTAGTTTTTTACCTTTCTCTTTTTTAGGTCTCTCCTTCTTCTCTTTTTTAGGCTTGCTCTGTGCTACTTGTCGCGACTCTTGTCTCTGTTTTATCGCCTCAGATATAAAATTGTACATTAAGTACACCTGCAAAAAAAATACTTTATTGTAATAATTAGATTTTAAATAATAATAAAAATTTATTTCAAAATAAATGTTACATTTTAAATATAGGTAAAACTCTGCTCCCTAAATAGGTAAATCCTGTACTTTAGGATAAGCAAATGTAACAATACTTAACATATTTAACAAGAGATAACTCAGAATGTATGAATTTTGATTCATGTCAGACAGACCCTATCATAAGGATAAATTTTCAACTGTAATCATAATGCAATTCATACAATTAGTGTGTAGTTTATATTTTAAATAAATATTTATTGCGACTGTGACAATCTGATCATAAAGTAATAGCCTAAGCTATACAAAACATTAAAGGAACCCTTCTGAATCTGATTTTGAACATTTAAAATTTCAATAAGTGACAGGTGTATCAATTTGAAAGAATGCATATGCGCCAAATAACATGCAAACGTAAACAGGTAAAAATATAAAAGAAAATTAATTTCATTGTTATAATTTATCGACAATTATTTAACTTCATTATGTAGTTAAATTTTTGTATGACTCCTCTATCATACCATCATATTACATATTGTTGTAACGAATGAAATAATATAAGAATTAACTATTATTCAGTAAAAAATACCAGAGTACCAGAAACATCAACCTCGAAACACACAAGTGAAAATGAAACAATTAGCATTCTTTTAAGGAACTGTTCTACTTGTGAAAGGTTGCAAAATGTAAAACAACAAAAAATATAAAGCTTCCATACTTATTCAAAAGCCAAAGCTGTGATGCTAATTATTTCGATCTCAACTTATATATAACAGAATAAAGTGCCTTTTACCTGGAAGGAGACAAGTAAAGAGAGTGCAGCGACTCGTAGCAACAGTGGCGCGGCACCAGCAAGCCCGAAGTAGAACGTAAGCACGCCCAAGACGAGCGAACAGAGACGCACACTCACAAACACACTGCCATTCACCAAACTTACAACTGAAATGTAACATTTTTTTTTTTAAATATACAGACATAGATCCTTTTATTTTTTATCTGAATAAAGTATACAGTTGAAATTGTCAATATTATTATTACAGAATTATTAATGTAAATCATTTGCATAATTACATACAAACAGCTATAAATTATAAAAAAGAGGGTAGTAAGCAGCCGCTTTATTTGTTTCGATATTTAGTTACAAAAAAAACTAAAATAACAGTATTTTATAAAATATAAAGACTTAAAAAAGCTCACATTTATCTAAAAAGTCTTCCCGTTCTCCCCTAAGAATGGTGTTTAGACGGTAGATGTGGGCCACAAATTCAGCCAGTGAGTGCAGTACTATTAAAGACACTCCCACTCGCTGAAATCTGGAAATTTTTAAAATATTAAATTTGGTTATCCATGTAAACTAAAAGCCACCATTATTTGGTGGCATTGCTGGGGCACTTTATTATAAGAGTTTAGAGAAGACAATAAAAATACAACCCCAGACCAAGAATCAAACCAATTATGTACCAAAGAAACCAGTGGGTGAAACATAAAAAAGTAAGTGCCATAAAACTCAGTAATTTGATATTTTTTTTATTTGATCTGATATACTAACTTGAATCCATAAGCCAATGCCACAAAAGCGAAGGCCGCAGCAGCATGTCTGATACGTCCTGCCCATTCATCTTTCTTAATACGCTGGAAGTACAACTCAGGGACGGTGTGTATCCAGTATGCAGCTTGTACTATCCACCATAACTTTAACAAGAAACTCATAGGGTGCTCAGGATAACCTAAATGATACAGAGACAGAATGTAGTTATAGGTAGATATATACATTATTTACATTATATTACATTAAATAAACATATTGAACTATGGGCAAAGTTTACATAGGTGCAACAAAACAGCTTTATTGCAGAGTTCAACCGTGAATAATGGAGTTAATAATGAAATGACATTTGAAAAATAATATCACAATTATGCATGTCAGTATTACTAATGAAAAATATAATCTGATATTTAATAATTAATCAATAGTGGCTTCAGTTTTCATTATGGTTAGATTTAAAATAAATAAATAAGATGGTTGTTCACTAAATAAAATTAGACAACAAATACTAGATGCAGCTGATATCGAAACTTGTGGTTTTTGTTGGTTATTTTGTAATTAAAATATAAAAAGGCAGTCAAGTGCAAGTCCGATTCGCACATTCCATAAAAAATCTTCATGTTTAAATTTTTTTTGTGAAATATCTATAAATTTATAGTTTTCGGATTTTTTCCTTTACAACAGGTCAACGGGAAATATCCTATAAGTTTTGATTTTCTTTGCAAATGCAAAGTATAAATATAAGATAAAGGGCAGTATCTTGATTTTTTCACTGCTTTAAGAGACCTGAGTATATGATATTAATTTCAACTTGATATCGCCACGCATTCCTAAGAAAAAGGGTCTTGACAGAAAGATAGATGGAAAGACAAGAAAGTGATCCTATAAAGGTTCCATTTTTGAGGAGGTATGGAACTCTAAAAGATAAAATTTCTAAATTGGTGAGTCATTTTTATTATTATGTTAAATGTCAGATCATATTTGATTTTTTCCTAAATGAATTATAATTCATACAATCACCATGTTTCTTGGTAGTAAATGTATTTTTACAAAGTTGTACCATTCAAGAGAATAAAGACAAAAATTGTGATAAATTATTAAATATCAGTAAAAAATAAATAAAACCACTTGCCTATTTAAAAATTTTGCCTCAAATTATCTTTAATTACACAAAATAATAATCGAAAACTACAAGTCTCAATTCTAGGGTCATCTAGTATTTCATGTGTCTTGACCAACTATCTAAAAGAATATATTTAATAGAATATTGATATGATGATGAAATATAAATGTATAGAAACAATAAAGTAGTTAATCTACTTTCAATTAAAAATCCAAGTATTTGTATTTAACCCATAAAACTGTAACACTACTCTGTACCATTCAAATTTTAATATAATTAAATAATTTTATCCATTTATTAATAATCATTAAAAGTAAAACTAAACAGAAACATTAAAAATGCAAAAAATTCTGTTGTCATTAAATTATGACCAAAATTGTAGAATTTAATGGATGTATTTAGAAACTTAATAAACTACATGTAACATAGTTTTAGTGTATAATCAGTCATTATTATTTTTTAGTTATATGCAACTTATTCTATACCATTTTGGGCAATAGTACTGTATCTACTTACTGTCCTTTTTTTTAAAAAAAAAAAAAAAAACATTCAATAAAGTTGAATGTGCCAGATTTTAATAATTTTTACTCATAAATTTCCCCTTAACATTTCCTTGACAATAAACACCATTATATATAATGACACATATATGAGTTATTAAAATTATGTGATACTCACGGTCCCACAGCTGTGATATGTTGAAGATGAAACCTTCCCGTAGAATAGCATCGCCTCCCCAAAGGAGAGTCACCAGATGAAACACAACCAATTGTCCAGATTCATTAAGCGCACTCAGTCGTGATTTTGAAAGGTGAAATTTCTTTGATATTTTCTGCAATTAGTTATTTAAACATTTTTATCTTTTGGTGTCATTTATACCTAAATGATGAGCTATTATTTTTTCATGAAACTTGAGACATATTATGCAGCATTGAGATTAATACAATTTAATACTAAGAACCTGCATTTATAATGTTACACTAAAAATAAAAATAAATAAAGTATGCTATTTATCACAGAGGTAAACAAATACTTACATCTAAGAAATACTCTTGAAGTATAGCATGCATCACAATACAGACGAGTGAATAAAAGAATACTGCACATGCATCTTTCCATCCAGCTTCATAGAAAAAGGGTTCTCCTTTTGGAGACTCTCGCGTTGGTTCGACGCCACTGACATTATGATGAAGACTGATGAATAAACTTGCTACGGGACTTGTCGACTATAATAAAAAAATAATTTTCATTGTTAAAATCGCTCAATATGGGTACCACTAGAGAAAATAACAATAAAATTCGGTCTACGTGGCATAAAGCGAATACGTACCTGCACCATAAGTCCGACTAAAAACAACATAACAACACATGAAACTATGTCAGCATGGTTCTGTATTACAAAGTCGTGGCTAAAAATTGGTGGGTTCTTGTTAGATTTTCTTCCTATTGCAGGTTTTACACCCATTTTCCCGGCAATAACCTATATCTGAAATTATTACACGGATTACTACTAGTATTCTTAATAATAATATTTTTTTATAAATTAGAAAATATTAATATTCATATTTATCCTGAAAATAAATAAAATTTTGTACCAATTAGTAGCCAATAAGACTTTTAAATAGAAACAAAAATATTTCTGACAGAACACCGAACGACGTGACACTTTCACTTGCTACGCGGTCAAACGTCAACCTCGCCCCGCACCGCAACCCCGTGTGTTGGCAACCGGAAATGCCAACAAACAATTTAATTTTTACTTAGTAATTTTTGTAAGTTGATATTACATCAAATTATCCTAAAATATGTTTACTTAAATATTTAGGATATTATGCAATAATATTATAATTAGCTCAGGAACAACAGAAACTAAGTTACATTGGGTTACAATATAAAAACTACAGGTACATACTATCCTTAATCTATGATATAAAAAGCAAAAGCCATTACATATGGTACATCATAAAAGTTAAAAATGGTAACTTAAATGAGAATTATTTAGAACATAATAATGGACAATAACAATACATGTTAATTTTAATCAAGAAAAACTATTTAAGCGTACACTAATTAATTAACGATACCTATCATAATAATTATAATAGAATGTACCTTCGATGGACTGTACAATTCTTTTTCTCTGGTACAATAAATATTAATGAGAATTAAATTCAATGTTTAAATTCAAAATTTTATTCATTTTTAATCTAGGATTTCCAAATGTTTCTTACCTTAAATAAAGATATTGATCTCTTGAAACTATTCGAATATCTCAAACTGGTTCCCGAAAATCGAAATCGTATATATATTATCTGATACCTTCGCCAATTCTAAATTGATTTTGATGATTTTAAAAAATTGAAAAAGACGTTTTTTTTAATTGGATTTAATTACTAGAGGGAGACATTGTACGAAAGTTATTTGCTTGGGCACTTCTGTCCCATTCGTATTCCTTTCGTGAAATAGTTGTGTTTGCATAACTGTGTTTTGGTTTAAAGGGTGGGATATGGCAGTGAATTTACAGGGTACAGAGGAATAATACCTGAATCCTCAGGAATGCATGGGAGATATTATAGGCGAAACGGTATACTCTATTCTGTTTATGATACTGCTCATGTCTGTAGGCGACAGTTACTACTTTTCATCAGGTGGGCCGTCAGCTTGTTTGCCATTTTAAGTTGCATAAAAAAAATTATTCCTAAGATTTTGTTATTCCATTGTTTTAATTTTGGTATATGTAGGAAACCCATTTACACTTACCTCGTCTTTGTTGATTTTTGTCGTTATTGGTGAATTATTATTTCATTAACTTTGAATAATAACTATGATTAAAAATTATCTGATGTTTATCTTAGAATTCCTTACGAATACCGCCAATAGAAAAATTGCAATTGACAGCGGTATAAACAAGTGTTATTAAGTGGGTAGTCACGTAAATGATATATTTAAATTATTCATAATGACCAAGAAATTCGATCTGTGGGTATCCTTAGGAGCAGTAGAGGGTGCAATATTACAGATAGGTATCAGTTCAGTGGTGTTACCAGAGTGTACAAAAGTCGTTTGCTTGGGCACCTCTATCCCATTCGTGTTTCTACCGTGAAACAGTTACGTTTGCATGACTCCGGCAGTGGACCGTCAGCTTTTTTGCCATTCTGAATTGCATAAAACAAAAAGCAGGTGTTTAACGATGGACCAAGTATTATATATAAGTATGATATAAGGTTTTACGTAATTTGCGTAATGACTGTGTATCACCACTGTAGTGAAACATGCGAAATATATTAATACAAGCAAGTATGCTTGCATATTTCTATTTCGTTCAAACCTTTAGAAAGCAGAAACTAAATCAGCATAAATAGAACAAATACGATTAGGTTTTTGTTTAGGATTTAAATATAATCAAGTCATAATATAAAGATGGTGTCTATATTGTTATATAAGGCCTATCAAATATCGGAAACAATGAGTTAGCTGTTCAGCTAATTGATATCAGTGCCGCCAGAGAAGTGTCAATGTAAAACTTAAGGTTGCATCATTTAAGATTTTTCTACTGGCCCTCATAACTATTGGGTGCATAACTAACCTCACAATGTAATTAAATAAAGTCAACATATTTATTTTTGCAAATATGAAATATATATTAATAAAAAAATCATTTTATAAAAAATCTAACCTAAAGATTACGAACTAAATAAACAAAATTTCAATATTTATAAACGATTTCATTTTACTATTATAGTAAACTTATAATTATGTTAGAGCCTACATCTACATGTAGTATTTTTTTTTTTTTGTTTTTGGGATGAAACAGATATTTTAGTTATCTGAATAATAACATAATAAATAATATGAATTATCATTTTAATAAATCTAGTTTTAACACTACATGGAATAAAAATCCTACGACATAAATGAATCAGTTAATACAATTCAAATAGGTCTAATTAGCTGACCTGAATACATAATTATTACATTATTCATGTTTCACAAGAGAAGTGTAGATAATATGTTATTTGTTTAACTTAATTTTATAAACATACATATTTCTAAACCCCCTAGATTTTTTTTATTAATTTTATTTGTAAATTTTTTACCCAACGTACTTAATTCTAAGGTGCTAATAATTTAATGTCATAAAATATAACTAGTCAATACTACTTTACAATTTTTTTTAATCAATTCACATGCATGTCAAAGCTAAACAATAATGATATCAACTGTATATTTGTATATATTTCATACATTCTTTTTTACGGTGAAATATGAAATTGTTCTAAAGTTGGTTCAATATATGCAAGCACCCATGCAACATCATAATTATTCGAAATAAACTGCTCTGATTATAACATGTGAAATGTAATTAGACTATTATATTCTAATTGTATGTCACAGATCATTATCCAATTTGAGTATTTATATGACATTGTCTGAATCGATCTCGCCTTGTTCGACCGTCATATACAAGCCCTCCTCTTGGTATATAGAGTCGTGTTTGGCGAGAATACGCAGCAGAGGACGAAGCTTCATCCACCATTGTTGCTTAGCGATTCTTTGTCTGTAATAAATATTATTATATTAAAATAATTTATAGGTAATTAATTAATGTTCATATTAACTTGATAAGTAAAAACATAAAAGCAAATTGTGGACGAATTAGGAATAGATACTGGGGAATCGAGAGATATGGATAAATACTCATTAATTAGTCCTAGAATGGGACTGTCCAAGCAAAATGGAATATATACTATTGACATATACAAGTGACACAGTAAAAGTACATAGAAATTTCGGATCGGTCTAGACTGAAGTCTAGATTTCCTATTTTTTATTGTAAAAAATGGGCATGCAATATAAAGAGGTCTAGTGTGGAAAGTAAAGATAGCTATATAGATTTTATATATATATATATATATATATATATAGTTTGATATGATACTGATATACCATCTAGGAGTGATATAATATATAATCATATTTCATTGATTCTTCTACTTTTAAAATCTACATATACGACGTTGCAGGCAAAAGCTATTAAGTAATAATATAAAGAGATAAACAAAGAAAGGTTCTTGAGTGGCGACCCCATACGAGCAAATACTGTGTAGGGGAACCCCCACTAGATGGAGTGACGACCTCAAATACATTGCAAGGAGTGGATGAATGTGGTTTAGGACCATTATTTATGGCAGTCTATAGGGGAGGTCTACGTTCAGTAGTGAATGAATAATGGCTGAGATGATGATAAAAGATATAGTGCGTAATTATGTAATTATAATAAAGACAACATACGAGAAGTTGGTTTGAGCCTTGAGTTCTTCAAGAGGTGTAAATTTGTATTGCCGCTTAACAACGCCCAGCAAGCAGGCGGAGTCGGGTGTGTTGGCTGGACCCTTCTGTATTGCTTCGACAAGCCAGTGCAGGCATTTTGCCGCCAGTTTTGTGCCCATATTGCGGTCGAAGGGCGACGGTGAACCACCTTGTTGCATGTGTCCTGGAATTGTGAGACACATATTTGTAAATATAGTAATGCAGGAAGTCGCGGCCGAATATCAAAAGAAATGGGAACTTTCAAGTTTATTTGCTCTCTTCAACTTTTCGCTCATCAAAACATAATATCTTACATCCCTTTCAGTCACAATTTTTATACTAATTTCTATTACTTTCAGTGTTCTTCTAAGAAAAAAACACTCATTATAATATGAACAAAAATATTTAAATATATACATGCTAAAAATTAATGAACAGATTAGACTCAAGGCTATAAAAATCACTACCTAAAATTGGATAAACATAAAAACGTAGAATAAATAAATAACAATTTCATTGGTACTTATATTTATTCAAATATTAAACAACAGAGCATAAAAATATAATTGACGGCCGGCCATAAATAAATATATTTTTATTTGTTACTTAAACTCTCAGATTAACTCTTTAATCTGCTAGTTATGCATGTAAGCGATTATAACCCTAAAATATGACTTTATCTTTTACGATAATAGAGATAAATGATAATGAACCTATTATTTGTTGGTACTTTATCGATATCATGTATTTTAGATATTTACTGTAATCAGCATTTAATTCCCGTGAAAATTAACTCTTCACTTACCGAGCACATTCATTCTGGCAGTGAAAAGTCCTTTGCCCTCCTCAGCGTACAAGCGGTAAATGAAGTCTGTATTGTAATTATCATTGGCCTTCTCATTTCTTAGAATAAGTCCTCGTTGGATACCGCCAGTCATTTTCGACGCCATGTGATACACATCCTGTTGTAGATCTTTGATTGAAAACTTCTCCTCATATATATATGCTGCGTCAGCACCACCAGCCAAGCCTGAACACATATATATACATAGGTGGTGAAATTATACATGCACATACCTGTACTTTTCCATAAATAATCAAAGATTTATAAGAAAATATTTTCATTCATAATAACTTACGTAGATGTATCCGTATAATCAATTATATTCTATATAATTATATAAATTTTCTGATAAATTATGTACCTGCCAAAGTAGCCAAATAGCCGCAGTAGCCTCCCATAGTTTCAATAACGAAAACTCGACGTTTTGTTCCCTGTGTTAGAAACAAAGAATGAGAATTACAATTTACAAATTGAAATATAGTAATTTGTAAATAATGTAAAGATTTGTTATTGTTATTTAGATTGCTGTTTTGCACTACTGCTGCCCACTCATTACTTCCTATGTAACTGTCAGGTTAACTAGAAGAGATCTCTTTTAGAGATAAGTTCACCTTTACTTACATTGTTTCTAAATGTTATTATTACTTTATAATTTACCTGCAGGAAACTTTGTACAAAAGCCATTTGCTTGGGCACCTCTGTATTTCTACCACGAAGCAGTTGTGTTTGCATAGCTGTGTTTCGGTTTGAAGGGTGGGATATGGTAGTGAATTTACATGGTACAGAGGAATATTACCCGAGTCTTCAAGAATGGCAACGCATGGGGGATATCACTGGCGAAACAGTATATTCTGTTCACTTTCCGTAAGGTGGGCCGTGCTTGCATTCTAAGTTGCTTAAAAAATGTTTTTTGCAATAAAGAATATTGAATGAGAAGATTACCTGAGCAGATTGTCGGATGCGGTCGCAAATTTCAGTGATCTCGTTGAGGGCGGTGTCAGCGCCAAGTGAGAAGTCAGTGCCGGGGACATTGTTGCTTATTGTCGAGGGGATTATCACCAGCGGAATACAGAACTCGGGGTACTCGCTACGACCCTCATACAGTTCTAATCCAGCTTGGTAAGCCTAAATTAAAAAAAAAAATAACTCATTATCAATCAACTTTTAAGTCAATAAATATATTTTTACTAGGTATTTTGAAAAGATTAAATTTTAAGAGAACTATCAACAATAATACAAATATTGATATTTTCTTTCTTTATTAAAAACTAAACTGGTATTTACCTATATAGTATTATTAAAAAATAATTATCATATAATAACAATGTAATGCAATCTACCTCAAATCCACCAATAATGAGAAGCCCTTGAATATTGAATTGTTTGAGTCGAGCAGCTATTTCCTTCTTTTTATCTCCTGGCAGTGTTCTTTTCGTGCCTAGAAACGCTCCGCCTTGAGCTACCCAGCCGGTGACGTCAGACCTGAATTATTAACCATTGCTTATGACCTCTAAAAAAATTATAAAATACTTAATTCTCCCTTGCACTATTGATGCCAACTCAACACTTCCTATACCACTGTAATGGGTTGACTGGAAGGTACCTCTTTTAGAGATTCATCTCGGCTCATATTAATTCTAATAATAGTTATTATTACTCTATTTCTGATGCAATAAAGAATATATAAAAAAACGCAGGGACCCCACCAAATATCTTCATATTAAAATGTATTGATGATGTTAAACATGATTATTATTATAACACTTTATAGATAATATAGATATGTAAAATGACCGATAAAATAGATAACGTTTAAAAAGACATTCTATTATCATCCATAAAAAAAATAAAAATACGACTGTAATGTTATTAAAGGGCATAATCCTTTTAACAAATTATCCTTTTAGCAAACTAAACGACGCCTCACAGATTTTATTTTTATAAAACGTGAAAAGTAAAGTATAAGGTTGTTCGGATGCTTAATTAGTTTATCCGAATTTTTCCCACATTTAGCCCGACAAGTGAATTATTACACATGAATGTTCGAATATATAAAATTTGGCACACAAATGGATTCTATTTCAGAATTAACACTGGATACTTATTGTGCTATTTACAGGTAGTTTATAATATTAGGGAGTATAAAGTTTACCACTCCATCTTGACAATGTTGCCGCTGACGAGTCCCTCGATACCATCATGTATACCGAGCACGGTGTCGCCGCGGTAGATGCAGTTACGCACAAAGGAACGTACAGCTGCGTTCATACCGCAAGCAGGGGCGCCCACGTGCATCACCGCCAATGTATAACCTTCCTGGGATATTAAAAAAAAAAATTCAATTCTAATTATAATAAGATTAATTTTGTATAATCTACTTAATTGAATAGGCATAGTTAAGGACGTAATTTTAATTAAATAGTTACCTATTGTTTTGGCGTGGTGGATTATTTAAGTCAAATCCTGTTTCTATTCGTATAAAGCGGCTTTTGTTGCTGTAACCACCATGATTATACCAAGTATAATTTTAAATTTTACAAAATAGCCTCCGATGTTGAAAAAATCAATATAACATAACATATGATTATTCGAGTATTTCGATTAAGAAGAGTTATTAAAATCAGTTTTTAATTCGCCAAGATACTACCAATGTACTGTATTTTTATATCACATAAGATATTTTGAAAGCTGGTGGGTATGGAAAGGCTATGATATGATAAGAATCTAAAATGATTAAGATAAAGGAGGATGACCGCCGCGTGGTCCCGGTATAGAATAGGCCACCCCTTTCTTTCCTGTAGGTGTCGTAAGAGCCGGCTAAGGGAGGGCGAGAGATGGGCAGCTGCGTCCCTCTTAAAGCATCTAAAGGCTAAAGGCTTAGTGTGGTTGCCAGTCCGCCTGCGAAGCGTGGCAACTATTGGCAAAACCCTCCAAGGGGAGGCTTATGTTCAGCAGTGGACAGTTAATGCTAATTTGATGATAATAATGAAAGAAGGATGAATGACCTCATAAGTAGCTGGATTGTTCTTTTCATGATTCTTTCGTGTTACTATTGCGAGCAGTCTCAAATCGTTGTGACAAAAAGTTATAGATAAAACAAAATCATGTGTGCCATTATATTCACAAACTTCTGAGTCAAACGTCGTTAAGTCGACGTAGGGCCATATAATAAAAAGATAAAAAGGTGATATTACAAGTCATTAATAATAATAATGTTATTATTTTAACTGCTACTGAAAACTAAAAATTCAAAATTACGAAAATTCAAATCTGGAGATAATTTCATTCGTAGTAAAAAAAAATGCTACATTCATTACGCATTAATTTAAGAAGAGTTCACTTTATAACGTACAGGAAGTCTGCAACGGTTATGTTTATATGTCATTTTTTGTTGTTCTATCTAAAGGTCATGTTAGTCGATCGAGTTATACAAAAACACAGCAACCAATTTATTTAATGAGATAATTACATTTAATAGTGAAGTTTATATAACGGAATAAAAATTTATACGGATATAACTGTCTTATCGTTTATTTACAATTTTTTAATGAAATTATTTATATTAAAAGAGACAAATGTCGCGAGTACATTGAACAGTGCATATGAGAAAGAAATTTGCAGTCAAAATTTAAGCCAAAGACCACTTTTCAACTTGGTCAAATTCCAGCAATAATAATCTGAGGAAATGGGCTGATGGACCGATATGGTATTGTGAGAGCCAGTTGTGTTGAAGGGATGTAGCAGGCACCTAAAAAAATGTCTGGTGTAAAGATGATAAAACAGATTATGGGAAAGCGAAAGGATGCAGTACAGGTATCAACACAGGTATAAAACAACGTATCATAATCAGATGGACTGTATATTATTATTATTAAGATACTGGTCATAATTCCTCGAAATCGGAATACGTATGTAAAGAACGAGACTCTTAATACTTAGTTTAGGTGTCTACCCTGCAATAAATCTGATATGAAGGTATATATTTAATTACTTACGACAGGTTTCCCAGATTCGTCGAAGGCTTCTTTAGGAGGCTTCAAGCGGGTCAACATCTTGTAGGTTTCTAAGTTACGAGCAAAACTGCGCCCGCGCAGTTGCACTGCTAAGTCCCAATTTTTATCTGCCATGGCCTATTAAAATTTTAACATTCTTGAAAATGATATGCTTAATCATATGTGTACATACATATATTTTATAACACTGAAATTATATTTAATATTTATGTTTAGACTTAATATACTTGATTAGTGTATTAAATATAAACAGAATATTAGCAACAGGTTCTCCTGCGTAATATTTCTGATATTGCAGAATTTAAACCTTTCATCCATAGACATAGCAATGTTTCCTACAAAAACAGCTACAAAGCAAGACAATTACGTCTCATAACCTACATTTCGTCGTAATCCACTTATGCGTGATTCCATAACACAATAATAATTATCTATCTGATAATATTTTGTAAAATGGTTAGATACCTGAGAGACTGCTTTTGTACGTCGCACACACTCCATGAGAGGCAACCGCACGGCTTGGTTGCCATCTAGGGACACCACACAGGGTTCAGTTTCCGGAGTTGCTTCCATCAAAGCCATTACTGCCTCAGCACCCATACGACAACCCTGTGATAAAATAAAAATTTGTAACAGGTATTTACGTCTTACAATATCTCTAAAGGTTTGTTAACAAAGTGTATGATAACCAATCCAGACCATAAATGTCTGTATACAATGTTAATGCAGTGTAAGCATAATTTTATACAATATTATAATAGATATTCTTTTATACATTTCATTATTTAATTGTCCACTGCTAAGCATAGACCTCCCCCATAGACTGTCATAAGGAATGGTTCTGAGCCACCTGCATTCACTGATTCCCAGCAATGCATATTATATATAATATTATTGAATTGTCATTTAAGTTCTTAGACTATTCAAGAAATAATAAGGTTATTACACACAATACAAAAATACAAACATTACACATACACAAAAAAAAAATTAGATTAGATTTAAAAATTTTGTTGATTGTTATTCTTCTGTATTTTTTGTCTGATTTAATATTTTCATTTTGTATGGCATGTCTTATCTGTACTTATTTATTTAAGTATGTCATTTTTTGTGGCAACTTTAATTTATGTCATTACTAATTATTTTTTGATTTTTTAATAAAAACAAGGAAGTAAAAAAGTCCTTATAGAACGGGCAATATGATGTATTCGTATTATCTAGTTCTCTTGCCTATTTAATGCTGATTTAAATAGCAGAAATAGCAGATTCTAGCCTTTACTCTGATCAACAAACTCATTCGGTGACAAAGGACAGGTTGATAAAGGATGTACATGTGTAGACATTATCATTTGTAAAAGTAAAATTTGAAAAGTATTTAGATAATATTTTACTTTAATTAGTTCACACTTTTAACTGTAGATTTTTTATTAGGTATCAGCAAAAACTATTTTATGTAGAACTTAGAAAAAAAGGAGTGCAACAATACTTTATCACCATGACATACATTGTACGAAGATATTATATTTATAGTTCTTGCCCGTTACTTTGTATGCGTTTACGATTTCCGAAAAAAACTAATTAAATAGACCTTCCAGATAGCATATCAACATAAAATATACATCAGCTTTTAAGTTAAGGACCTTCAAGAATACAACTGTAATAATAACATCTAATTAAATATAAAAGTTTTTTGCATGATGTCGGAATAAAAACACAGACAGATATATCGACAAATTTCAAAAGTATATATCTTATATAACCCCTTATATTGTTTTATTCTTAAATTGACAGACATCATTTAGTTACAATTTTATATCAGTAATATTTATAATATCTTCATTCATTTTTGTCATAATGGAAAATTAATAAAATCTACACGATTGCATTCATTTACCTTTTTAATAACATCGATACAATATTTATTTAATTTACTATTTTTTTTAATCTGTGCACCGCCATTTGCTCTCTCTGTTTGGCGTGGCGGTTGACTGGTAGAGAATGCCATCAGACATTAAGTCCGCCGTGTAGACATTTTCAATGTATGCAAAAGTATAATCAAATAAATAAATACGATAAAATCCTAACAAACTCCATTACGACAAGTTATAAAAGCATGCAATGCTTCAGAGATAGACAGAAAAAAAATAAAGAATCATGAAATATTATATATATTTCATGATTCTTTATTTTCTTTCTGTAATATATATAAATAATAATAACAAATATCAGGTTTTTCACGTATCTATATAGTTACACACATTAGCTTTATGAGCAATATCTTATGCTTTGCCGACGGTGACCTATCGAGAGCGCATTGACCGACTGATAATTATCATTAATAAATAATAACACAATATTACTTTTTTGTTGTTTTGGAAAAGACGTGTTTTTAAATTAAATGTCATATTTGTTATATGATCTCTGGATTAGTTTTGAATAATAATTTCATACTGTAAGGTAAATGAGTACTAGGTTTATTAATAATGTTAGCAATTAATATTTATATTTTAGATTTGAAACACAGAAATGCATAATTTCGATACCATTATTACTAGAATTCCCTATTGGTATACCATAAATAAATATATAAATTTAATATTTATCGATCTAATACATCAATTATAAAGGTAGATTATTAATAAGAATACAAAGTTCAATTAATTTTATTGCTTGGCCTTGTAACCTCATTATCAAAATAATATAATTAGGCAGTTTTACAGAGCATGAATGAGGGTTGTTATATAAGGGAATGTGTTTAAAAGTTTTACAAACGGTAAGTCCGTTAATATATAAGTACAATATTATGATTAAGAAAAATTAATATATCATAATAATAACAATAACATGAAATTTTACTTTTATTAATTTCAAAATATAATAAAAACTGATAAAAGATATATAAAAGAATAGTGATAAAATTACAACAGATTACTCGGCCAGCTGTGTTAAAATTATAGCCTAACCCTTCCTTGAGGTTCTAAAGATTAATCAATGTTGAATTTCATAAATATTGGTTCAGCCGTTCAGTCATGTAAATAAAGTAGACCAAAAACAGATCTTATAATACTTTCACGTTTGTAGTATTAATATTGATACAATAATTATACGATATCTATAAATGTCTATGATATCAACTTTACTAGGGTTGTGTTGTAAACATAAAATAAGTATATTCAATATTAAATGGTTGCGGACGCGATTAATATCATCAAACTTACGTATAGTTTTATTTCATTATAATTTTATTTGTAATTTTCAACAGAAAACATTCGCATTAAATCAGTGAAATGGCGTATTTTATAATCTTTATTAAAATTATAAAAAGTGAAAGAAAATTTATTTGTCTGTTTGTTTGTTACATTATAGCGCTTTAACGGCTTAACTAATCGCTATGGAATTTGGTATACACGTACTATATAAGCTACTTTTTGCCCCGGCCACGTGGACGAAGTCGCCATTAAAAGTTAGTTCTCTATAAAGTTTAGCTGAAATCCAATATATAAATATCCAATATTTAATATTTCATACTAATTAGGTCACGTAATTGATCAATTGGTGTTAATTGTGAGGTTGAAAAATATTCTTATACATTCAGCTTTGCATATCCTTGTGGAAAGTTTTTAAATGTCACGAATGCTATCGCTCTATTTCAATTTGTAATAATATTTATTTTATTGCACGCAAAAATATATTATATACAAGTACTTAATTTCAAAATCGATTTTATGGATCGATTATGTATATTATTTATTATTTACATAAACATAAAAGTGGGTTAATTTATTTTGTTGGCCTTATAACCTTATTATCAAATTTATTTAATTAGGTACTGTTTTTCAGATAATTACATGAGAGTTGTAAAAATGTTGTTATGTCTGGTAGGTACATGTGTTTAAATGTATATTTAATTTCTTTCAGATGTTCTTCATTTGTATATATGACATTTTAATACACACAAAGAAAAAATATGTAAAGTTCATGTTTTAAAGAACTACGGTGCAATACATGACATGCATAACATAGCACACGGCGGAACAGCGTGCATGTGATCTTTCAGCGACATGTTCACATCAAGAGATTTGGACTTTTATCTTAATGTATACATATACGTTTAGATAAAAGCTACATAGATAATTAAAATTATAAGATACAAAAAATATATATTTCGTGGCATGTGTCAACCCTAATAATATAGGTATAAATTTTTAGCTAGTGATAAGCTTGAACTCTGTACGGAAATTTTCCCCGGTGACAAATTATTTTATTAACATGCTGTTCAAATTACGGGCAATGTAACTTTTTTTTTACATAAATTAACTTAAAGATTGTCATTATCTATACTCTGTCATTATTATTTATTATAAACAGTGAAGTCCGATTGGATGACTGATAATGTATTGTAGTAAAAGCCAACACACTATCGAAGATAATACGGAATTTTAATAGTAAGTTCCTTCTGTGACGTAGGTAAAGTAAAATTATATTTCCTTTTTAACTCTTAGAATGATGATGAATAACTGGCATTTGTTAATTGGTTGGAACACATTATTTTATAATGCTATTCTACTTATTTTTAAACATTATTATATGTTTCTAGACAATGCAACATAGTCAACTAGACATTAAGTGGTTGACTACCCCTTGATAGGTCTTCTCAAATGTTCTCATCTGGTCATATCAAATATTTTGTACATTAATTAAAATGTCATTCAGGTAATTTCTCGACTACAGTTAAAAAATAAAATTAATCCTAAGATAGGTAGCGGTAGACTCGCCCCCTGGTATATTAGGCAAATATGATTTAAATTCTTTTTTCTTTTTGTGTACTTTATTTATCAATATTGGTGCAATAAAATGTTAACAAGTAAATGATAAATATGCTCGGCGCAATGTGGCCATGTCAAGTGGTATGTTTAATCACACATTCTTATATAAAAACAGCGTGATCCATCCTTGTCATTGCTACTAAAGGGAAATTGTACGTTCGTATTACGAACGGTCATATTTAATATACAGAGAAGTAAGGTCTGCTAGGGAGAGGGGCAATGAGCATAATCTATTGTATGTAGGTCACCTGTAGGTAGTCCCAGATAGGGAGCTAAAGGTATTGATAAACAAGTTGACGTCTCGTCTTATGGAAAGTACATATAGCTTATAGACATCACAAAAGAAAACTATGGAGACACATGTGCATAGAAGTGTTGCAGAATATCATTTACGGGAATCCTAATACCTCTTATATGCTATGTAGCTGCCAACATTATACTTTACTATATGTGTGCTCTGTTAAAATTTATTATGAATCATACTTTAGGGAGGAAATACAGTATGTTAATTAACGAAATCTATTCTATTGAACTAATGTTACTATTCATTAATAGGGTCTCACTGTTTTCTTTTTTCCTAAAAATAATCTTTATTACCAAATTTATCGAAAGAATTAATATTAGAAACAAAATTATTAAAAGAAAAAGAACAACCTGAAAATGTACAAACGGCAGTACACAGTAGGTACAAGATGTGTATATGAAATAATGGAATTCATTAATTAACAAACTGTTTATTGAGATAAAATAATAATTATAAAAACATACCAGAATTCTATCGAAAGCAGAGGGGGATCCTCCACGCTGCACATGACCCAAGACCGTAATACGTGTATCTTGTTGCAGATTATCCACGACCACCTTCTTCACGAGTTCAGCAGTGATCGGCTTCCCTTCGCGATCGATAGCCCCTTCCGCCACGATAATGATATTCAACCGTTGACCAGATTTCCTCTCCTAAATAACATTATTAAAAACAATTAGTAGGCGATAATAATTGCAACATTGCAACATGCACATCAACAAAATTAAAATTATTTGTTTTTCAAAAATAATCAAGACATATATAAATAACATATAAACAGATTAAGAGATACTGATAGATTTTCATAAAAATCGAATAAAAAAAAGCATTTACATTTGAATTTTAACATGCAAGGATTATGTTTTGTCTAACAATGATTTGCCTTTTTGATGCCTTTTTTTGATGGAACAAAAATAAGATATAATGTAATTAACTAAAGATTATATAATAGATAACTTGGAAATGTTATCGAACATTAGAATCAATGCCATACTACTGCTGTGCAGTCAATTTATATGAAAAGGAGCATGCTAGGAAGGCCGAAGGCCTTAGTAGGGCCATCGGCCTTCCTAATATGCATGACATGCATGCATTCCTAACATGGGGAATAGCATCGCTAACATAGAAAGAAAAGTGGAAAGATATTCGGAAGTCAGAAACTTTATAATCATCTCCGCGCTCATATACAAAATCGAGAACAGATTAAGTATTAGAATAAAAATGAAATAAACGCGGACGAAATGAGAGTAAGAAGGAAAATCTGTGGAGAAAGAGTTATATAGTGTGAAAGCATGTTTAATTTGAAAGTGCAAATAGCATAAATGAAAATAAATATATATACATATCTATAGATGGGGAAGGTATAAAAATCGGATTGAAAACATGAATGCGAAAAGAGAAGGATGTAATAGTATCAAAGTAGACCTAGACTGACCTATTTACTGATCATGGTAGATTAGTCTAGGTCTACTTTGATACATGATGGAATGTTTGGGAAAAATTCAAATATTACATGCATAAGTTATAAAAGTAGATAAAGAAAGAGATATAAGAACAGATACTTTGGGCACTCGATTTTCCTTAAATACACTGTAAAGGACCAGGTATGAATATAGACAGATATACATAAGACAGAAGAAACACATAAAATAATGAAGTTAAGAAAATTCTTAAAATAGTACAATGTATATGGTTAAAATAATGAAAATAACTCAAACAACACACAACGACTATGGGGTTTAATATAAACTATCACCAACAATCCAAAATCGTAACATTATTACGTGTAGGAATAATAAACAATTTAAAATACATTAAAAATTAAATAGTGTAATTAAGTGATCTAGAGGCCTATTAAACTTTATCTTTACACTGCAATAGATAAATTGTGTGTTATATTACAGTGCCACTCAATTAACCCTTCATACCTGGTGTAATCGTTTACATAGCTTTTCAACCCAATTATAGGGAACAGGGTCCTCGGGAATAAAAACTGCATCTGCTTCGCTCGCCAGAGCAGCCACTAATGCCAGATAACTGCAACAAGCAGTACCCGCATAATGGAACATGCAAATGTCGCTCCCATATTTAGTTTAAAGCGTTTATGAAAGATGTAGCCATATGACAAACAATTTCACGCAAAATTTTAAAATTTCGTCTAAGTATAAAACCAACGGAATTTGCCAATTCAAGATGGTGAAATGGTAAGTTGATATTTAGTGATCCTGCTCCCATATGAAAAGGTAAATTCCTTGCCTCAATTAACTTTTCACACAACTTTTGGTCCCAATTGAGGGGCGCTGGATCTTCACAAATAAAACTATAAGTAGCATCCGTACACAAGGCGGTGTAAACTGCAAGAAAACTAAAAAGATACTTGAATTATAGAAGATATGAGTGGAAGGCGGCGTGCATGGACAAATTATTTACATACAAAAAGGGAAAAGTAACATCCACAAATAACTGAGCTTGCCTGTTCTAACTTATTACAGAGTTTATTTTTCCAGTCAACTGAAGGTGGTGCTTCAGGAATAAAAACAAAATCCGCTTCAGATGCCAGGGCTGTGACCACAGCAAGATATCTAAATAAATAAGTGTGCATTAGCTTTAAGTAAATTTATTGCTGAATTGGCTTAAAATACACCTATTCCCTCTACTGATAGTAATATGATTCAATGTTGCCAATATGATAGAACCTCGATAACTTAAATTTAAAGGAAAATACTGAAAATTTCAAGTTAATGAGACTTCAACTTAACAAGTAATTAAGTAGTTCCACAATTTTGGTAACAAGAAATTGGACTTTGAAAAAGATGATAACTATATTTTTTGAGTTGTAAAGACGTAGTTTAATTTATAATAAATAATAAATTTCGGGATCTAAAAAATGTTACATTGTAAATAGTAATAAGTACTATTTTTAAGTAAAATATTTAAGTACATTTACTCATAGAGTTTTATTTCATTCAAGTTACAATGTTTAAATAATTCGACATATTACATATTTAGGGATTTACAAAAGAGAGGGACATTTTTTCACTTACTGATGGTTTCCATTTAACATTGTTTGTGTTATCTATGTTCTACTGTATATTTTTATTACATATTGAATAGCTATCGAAGTTTTATCTATCGAAGTTCTACTATATATATCTATTACAATGTCAGAAAATACACAGAAAATAGGATTACATGGTGTCCAAAACAAAAGCATATTTATATATTTTTGAAGAAATTAATTACATATAAATATTTACCCGCAATGCCTTCCCATAACCTCCATAATGAAAGTCCTCTGATGAGAGTAAGCAGTGCTTACAATAGCATCTATAGCTTCTATGATGCGATGTAGAGCTGAATCAGTTCCAATTGTCATATCTGTACCACAGAAATCATTGTCAATAGATCCTACCTGAAAGTGAGAAATTTTCATCAGATATTTAATAAAATAAAATTAAAAAATATTCTTATATTAATGCCATTTCTAAAATAGACTGCTCCAAAAATTTGGGATAGTTAATATTAATTTGTGATTTGTTTGAAATATCTGGTCAAATTCCATGAAAACTAAATCTTATTCAAAATTTCATGACTTTTGTTTTTAAATCATAAGTGTTACATGTAATAATTATATGTAGATATAGTGCCATCTTGTCACATTATCTATTTTATAGATACAAAGTATTACAGTGAAATAACATGTGATTATATTCTTGTATAGAGGTGTGTCAAGCTTGTATTAACGAGCTGTAGTAACCTAAATAACAATTGCTTGTGATTTTGAAATATTTGCATCCTTATAGTGATAGATTAAGAATACAATGTGTTACTACTTCTCTTCATGTCCAAAGTGTAGAAAGAAATAAAGTAGAATACACCAGTGTAAGAGATAGAAAACTTGAAACAAAACTTTATAACAAATCTGGCCTATATGATAAATAAATAAGTTTAATGTTTTTCTTTTTAATGGATAATGTAATTGTAACCTGGCCAGTACTAATGATATATGCTGAAACACCAGGGTGCAAAACTACTTCTTCTTTCGTTTATCAACATCATTTCAATCATTCATTATTTGTTGACCTCCTAAGTTATATAGTTTTTTGATAAATATATATTAATATTGTAAGTATATAATATTTCTTTACCATTCCTGCAATATGCAAGTACTTATATTTTTCTCTTTGATCTTTAGTAATTTTATTGGTTTTAAGCAGCTCATCAAGTAAGCTTGACCATTCCTGCCGGAAAAGATTGGCACCAGTGAGTGAACCATCACCACCAATGACTACCAAATTAGTAATACCACGTGATATAAGGTTAAATGCAGCTTTCAAACGCCCTTCTCTTTGTCTAAAAAAAATAAATTTCATTTTAACATAATAAAAAGATATAATATAAAGAAATAAAATTGCTATAAAGAAAAATAATTAAAAATTATAAACAACACTTGAGTTATAGTTTCGCGAAAATCATATGTTTTTTATTTATCCATACACTAGCACTAGTTTTTTTATAATTATTTTATAACTAAATTAATGAACATACTTGAAATCCATACACCGCGCCGATCCGATAATGGTACCACCTTTATGAATGATAGAGCTCACTGAAGACCAATTTGCTTCTTCGATGTTGTCTCCACCATCCACCATGCCCTGATAACCTTCCCTAATGAAGTACACCTTGGCTCCAAGGTAGATACCCATTCGCACTACTGAACGCACTGCTGCATTCATCCCTTGGGAATCGCCACCACTAGTAAATACAGCGAGGCCTTTCCCTTTATGGGAACCTCTTTCTATGAATTTCTGTGTAGTTCCGTCCATTTTGAGGCTAAAAAGTTTCCGGATAACTAGAAAGATATAAACACAAATATTTTTTATGTAACACAGCACCAGTTTGATATCCTCTTTGTAAAATTAAGCGTTTTAAGATGTCATAGCGCTCCGCAATTATTTAAACATTACGTCTGTTACGTACCACAATAAATTAGAAAATACCGAATAAGTAAACTGAGTGAATTTAAACCTATCCCACACTTTATCAAGGTGACCTTTGCCTGTAAGTCAGGTCAGAAATGATAAATATTGACAAAAACATGACATTTGACAAACAGAAATGACAAATTTAACAACTAGTTAATAAGTGCATAGACGTACTATCTATGGATAAATATAGGTCCACGCTCCTTATTCTATGACAATATGATGTAATGATGTAATTCCAAAGATATACCTAGGCAGATAGATACCTACTTAATTACATTTTTGATATTAATACTTAAAGAAATAAATAAATTATATTTATTTAGGTAATCCAATCAAATTTATTTTTTTATATGCTTTTGGAATAGATAAAGTATCTATTATTATAAAAAAGGGGTGAACAGGCACGAATTCGACCTTTCTACTTTATATTTATTTTGTTAGCAAATTGTCATTTTTACGTATTCTATGTATCTCCAACATTATAGAAAATGTTTAATATATCAATTATTTATCAATAACAAATTTTATATTACTGGATTATATATTCGACACAATTTATGTATAATTTATGTATAACATTTTTTAAAAATTCTAAGAACTATTACTTATTTTATCATTTCATGTTTCATTCATATCTTGTTTGTATGTTAGTACATAATACATTATACTAAGTCTATGATTTATACTAGATAAGGGGTGACCTAGAACAGAAGAGGGGTGAATATGGGAAAAAGCATAGAGTTATCAAAATTATTGTACCTATGTTATTTAACAATAAAGGTTTTTAGGCAATTTATTAATATATATGATTGATATATTATTAATATATGATTATCTGTAGTGTTTTAGACTTACAGAATGTGTTTAATAGAGTTGTACGAGTATGTAAGGAATTTTAGTGCATTCATCTAAAATATAAGATCTAACCGGTGTTGTACAGCATTACTTTTATCAATCATACTTCATTTTGCATTTGGAAAAATGTTTCAAGAAGTTGAACAGTCTGATTTATGCAGATAAGAAAAAGTTTTAGTTGCTCCTCCTCGGATAGATATGCAAATCCTAGTTATAAAAATGAGGGATAATTATATGAACCATGGCTTACTTTCGAATTTAAAGAAAAATTAAAGTAGCAATCTTTAAAAGAGCATTTTCCAGAATTGATATAGTAGTTTTAGTACAAACAAAAGAGCACAATACAAAAGAGCGGAATAAAAAAATATTAATATAAAAGGGCGTGTTACATTTTTTAAATGGAATAGTGACATCGTTTACACTATGGGTATACACTGGCGGAGTAGAGGTGAAGGATAATAGGTGAGATGAAACCAGGATAGTTCGTTCGTTATGAAGAACTTATTAACTATGATTAAACATGATTGACAAATTATTCCACGTTAATGAAGTCAATAAAATTTATTTTCTCTATTTCAAATCTCATTCCTGGTTCGTTCCTATTTATACTCCGATCCCTATTCACCCCATTTATGTTACCTATGTACTTGTATGTATTTATGTACTTTCTTTCCACTTAGCTACCTGCTTGATTGTATAAATACATAAGTACCTAGGATTTTATTATTTACAAAACAAGTAAGATTATTTTAATTGTTACAGTAAGGGACTGCATAAGCACATTTTTACATGGTACCCATTATACTCATTTTAGCATGTATTTCTTAATTTCTCCTTGAAACAACTACCTAGAAAAATGTCTGCTGAATCTGATATGGAATATTCTGATAACGATGGTGATGATTACGATTACTACGGCGAGCAAGATGACTGTGATATGGAAACTGTGGATCGAAGTAAATCAGATCCGGAATTCTTTTTATATTCTTGCTTGAAAGTGGAAGAAGTAGAGAAACTGTTGAATGAATCGATTGAATTGCTCAGCAATAGCCTTCAAATAACGCCTTCACTCGCCAAGGTTTGTGCACTTACCTATATTTGTTTATTTGTTCCTACATTGCAAATTGAATATATTTATATTTGTTGTAGGTAATGTTACATGCCTATGGATGGAATGCTCAAGAAATCATAAATAAGTATAGGGAGAATGCAAACGAGGTATTAGTATACAGTCGCGTAAAACCCCGCCTACCGGTGGGCCAGGCGAATAGCTCCCGAACAAATTGTGCTGTTTGTGCAAATACTCCACTGCTACACAAATACAGCGCTTTAGCTTGTGGCCATTACTTTTGCAATGATTGCTGGGCCATGCATTTTGAAGTACAAATAATGCAAGGTATGAACAGAATTAAGTTTTTGAGATTAATTTTACATCCAGGCTTACTTAATGTAAATTCAAAGATAATTGAAATATTTTACATTGAGAAGAGGAAGTATCAATATTCACATTGCATTTTTTTATTTCAGTAGTGTATTACTAGTGGTTTATTATCTTTTCATTATAATCTGTCTGAATACAATACATATTGCATTGATGCATAGTGTACTAGTCTGTTAAAAGACATGACTAATGATTGATTTTTTTATTAATTACTAGCTGTTTCCTGTAACTCTGTTTGCATGACCAAAATGTGTTCACTGACTTGGATAAATAGTAACCTATGTTCTTCTCCATCTCATATAATATGTGTATACTAAATTTCATTTTTATAATTATAATATTCATAAGGATTAAAGAATAAAATAAGGAATCTAAATCACAAAAAAAAACTATTATATTTCTTATTATACAATTAGAGGTGTTGAACTAGCAACAGTCCAGTCGAATTATTATTAAACAGTTGCAAATATTTTGTGAATGATTTTTTTTATGTAACCGAATGGCAAACAAGCTCATGGTCTGATGCAAAGTGGTAACCCATCACCCATAGACATGAATAATAGCATATAACAGAGTATTCTGTGTCATCCATAATTCATGATCATACATTGGCATTCCTGAGGACTAAGGTGTTATGTTTCTTTATCCTGTAATTTCTTGCCATATCCTATTGCTGTACATTTAGTATGATATAGAGTGTACTGGCTAAAAATAAAGTTTAGGAAAATACATTTTTGTAAAGGAAGTTTTGGATGATAGAATTTAGGATAAGTATAAAAAAGTTTGAACAATAGATATTGTTAAGTAGAGGACAGATGGTTATTTAATTAGACATTATCATATGTTATTAATTACCACCATTGTATATTAATTAATATCACTAATTGCTATATGATTTGTTTGTGTTTTGGACACAGGAAACAAATTTTAACTTTCATTCTTATTGAGTTATAAATATGAAAGTTTTGTAACAATGGATAGACTGGATGGATGGTTGTTTATTTGTTATTGATTTACACAAAAACTGCTGGCTTGATTGAAATTTGGTATATGGGAAGGTGATATCCTAACTTAGCACATAGAATATTTTATATATTAATTCATGCAAGTGAAGCTACAGGACATAGCTAGTAAATGAAAAAGTATAAGACATACATAGGCTTATACTTTATTATCTTGAAAATGGATCCCATACACCTTATTCAAATTTATTTACCTAATGTAATGCCTAAATTTGTATATGATGATTATAGTATTCCATGTGATGGATGGTTGTCATTTATTCCATAGGTAGTAAGTAGCACAGTAATAGTAAATGTCCTGGATAGTATAGAAAATGCTCAGTACTAAATTATTCAAAATTCAGTTCCAAAATTAACAATAATTTTCATTAACTTTAAAAAGAAAGAACTTCTCAATTCTGTTGTATTGTTTTATGTTTGTTACCTCATGTTAACTTGTTTGTTAACTCTGTCAATTCTAAATCAGTTTGGTAAATTTGTTATTTTTTTATCTGAAAGAATATACTTACAGTTTGGTCCCATAGAAATTATATATATAAAATAGATTCAGTAGTTTACATTTTCAAATCAAAATAACTATATTGTCACAACTGAAGTCTATTTTCTTTGTGGCACTTAATATATATGATATTATTTGTTTGTTCATTTATACACCAATGTATGAGTCAATAATAAACAAATTTATTAAAATATCCCATTTTAGGAGTATCAAATACTATACAATGTATGGCACAAGATTGTGAAGTGAGAGCACCTGAAGATTTTGTGTTATCACATGTTACTAAACCAACTCTAAGGGAACGCTATCAACAATTCATGTTTAAAGACCATGTCAAATCTCACCCTCAACTTCGATTTTGTCCTGGGCCTAATTGTCAGGTGAATATTTAGAATATTTTTTAATTTCATTTAATTAATTTGCTTTGTCTATAAATATTAATATTATATATGCTAGTTATAAATATGACACTTAAATATTTCAAGTGGATATTCCAAGCTTGGACTCGCGAGGGGGCTCGTCGTGTGGAGTGTCGTGGTTGCGAGCTTCTTACTTGTTTCTCGTGTGGTGCACCTCACCATGCACCCACTGACTGTGCCACCATTCGCCGTTGGCTTACTAAATGTGCTGATGATTCAGAAACTGCTAACTACATAAGTGCTCATACAAAGGTTTGTGTATATTTATAATAATGAAGTCTAACCTAAAGTTTATCACGTGGGTATATCAGATCTATAGAAAAAGTTTCCCTTTTCAATTTTATCTATAGTTTTAATATAAATTATTAATGTTATTGATTATCATCATCATATCAGCTTTTAATTATCCACTGCTGAACATAAGTTTCCCCTAAGGGGAGTTTTGCTAGTAGTTGCCACGCTTGGCGTGCGGAATTGGCAACTGCAGTTAGGACTTGGAGATGTTTTAGAGGGACATTGCTTCCTCCCTCCTACCTCGCCTTCCCTTAGTCGCCTTTTACGACACCTATGAGAAAGGAGGGGGTGGCCTATTCTATGCTGGGACCACACGGTACAGTCATTGATAATATTACTTAAATACTATAAAATATAATACATATTTTTAATTTCAGGATTGCCCGAAGTGTCAGATTTGTATAGAAAAGAATGGAGGTTGCAATCATATGCAATGTGGTGCATGCAGACATGATTTTTGTTGGGTTTGTTCAGGTGACTGGAAAACGCATGGATCTGAGTATTATGAATGTAGTCGGTACAAGGAGGACCCAAATTTGGCTAATGATAGTCAACATGCACAGGTACTATATATCCTATTAATGTTCTAGTGCTAAAGTTTGTAATGATGTATAGATAGATGCATGTTCTTTACTCTATCACGTAAAACCTGGATGGATTTGAATGAATTTTAATATACATGTAGGTTAGATTACTAACTTTGCACAAAGAATACTTTATATAGTAATTCATGCAGGTGAAGCCACAGGATACAGCTAATAGTATTATAAATCATGGTATTTAAAATTTGTATTTATAAAAATGTTCATACCTTTAAAATACTTCCATATAGAGTAATTGAAAGAAAAAAGATAGTATTAAGAGTACATTAATATTTTTGTGATAAATAGTATGAGAATAATATAAGTTTACATACCTATCAAACTTTGATCATAATAAGATAATAGTGTAATAAAAAATTGTATATATTTATTAATATTATATAAAATATTTAATATTATGTATTATTACCTGGATAACTAATACATTTACACTTTCAATGAGAATATTTAGCAGTTATTTTTATATAAATAACATTTTTGAAATAGTAATAGTATAATATTCTGTATAAATTGTTTGTCTTTAAAACTTCTCTTTTATCACTAACTATTTAGGATCTTTGTTATGTATTTTTTTTTTGTTTTTTAAAAAATATGCTGTAATTCAGTTATATAGAATTAACATTATAAGAAAGTGTTATTTTTTTAAATAAAAAATGTGGCTGGTAGTGGTATTAAGCTATCCTATTACAAGGTCTCGACCAATAATTATTTTTATTTCTAGGCAAGAGAAGCTCTGAAGAAATATTTGCATTATTATGAAAGATGGGAGAACCATGCTCGGTCATTAAAACTGGAGGAACAAACATTAGCCAGTCTAAAGAGTCGTATAAATCAAAAGGTACTATATATATATCACTTTTAATACTGTATTTATTGGAATGGTAATATGGAAAGTGACAACTATTACTTATAGATGTGAACAGTACCATAACATCATAACTGTTACATCTGCACAATAACTTATGCATTGCCTTTCAAGACACCATCATTCTGTAATTGTTGTGTGGTCCCGGCATAGAATGAGCCACCCTAGTAAAACTTTTACAGGGAGGCTTATGTTCAGCAGTGGATAGTTTTTTTTTTATGGGTGAAAATGGTATGGTAACTCTCCCTGCGCCAACGGGATACGCCGGTGGAGCACCAGTGAAGGGTGATAGATACGAATGAAAACAGGCCAGTTAGCTCATCATGATGAACTCAGGAATTATCCATGATATTTAACAGGGAGAACTACGAGGAGTTCGACCTGGTTGGGTATATTGGTAGCAATGGGATTCTCAGTCTCCATTACTAACAATCCCTTTCCCTCCAAATTTAGCAGTGGATAGTTAACGCCTGATATGATTATCCTGTAATTTCTTTGTATTTACAAACAGGGCCGGTCTGGCGCATTGAGTGATTTTTAGTGTTGGCGAAAAAAAATAACGTGGTCACCACATTTACTCAGGTGCCCCCGATCCAAATATTGACTGAGCCCAGCGCCTCCTCCTTTGATGAAGATAAAGAAAAAAAAATTATCAGTGATTTAGTATTGTACATTCTAAGTTCCGTTTGATGCTAAGTTTTCGCTGACCTCCCTTGAATCTTGATACTTCTGGGGACCGCCCAAATTAGACTTTTAAAGCCTGTACTGTTTAAAAACATGTTACTGCTACCATTTTCCATGAGGGGCGCCGTCAAATTGTTCGTCCTAAGTTACATAAAAAAATATTATATTCAATTACATTTTATTTGTAGGTAATGGCTGGTGAGGGAACTTGGATAGACTGGCAATATCTGTGGGATGCGGCAAGACTTTTAAAACGCTGTAGATATACCCTTCAATACACTTACCCCTATGCTTATTATATGGAAGTGGGCCCTAGAAAAGAACTATTTGAATATCAGCAGGTATGTATGTTTGATCATTATGGTTCTATGTTATAAGTTAACTCCTATCTTATTGCGGCCTATCCCTTTCTCATACTCTACTTATTCCTTGTTTTGTATATTTACATTGGAATTTTGTAATGAATGAAAATGCTTACAATAATAAGAGTCACACAAACACACCAACTACCTGTTTCTCAAACTAGGATAACACCTGTGTCGTAAAAAATCGGGCGATGAGCATCTAGAGACTCTAAATTTTATTTACCTAAAACACCGTGCCTGCCACTGCGCCAAGGTCGTTGAATTATTAGATGTTACGATAGAATGTCATACAGACCACGCGGTTACAATATGATATTGAAAACTGTATTTATAAATATTAGGATGGTGAACTAGTTGACCACTCATCATCTGCGTGCGTTTTGATCATAGATGTGTGTATTTGTACATTGAAACTAAATAATTGGTAACTATAGACAAAAAACGTTAATTAGGTATCTGTATATGCGACCTTATAACCTTAGATATTGATTTACAGTAATAGTTAAATTTATGTTTACTAGAAAATTAATTAAGTTTTCGTGTAAAAGCAATTTATAAAATTTATTAAGTCGGCAAAGGGCGCTTCAATGGGCTAAATTATGTTTTTATAAATTAGTTTGAAACAATCTCTTAAATATTAGGTTCAGCTAGATGTTCCGATGTAATCAATTTAGAGCATAGAATACCTGAATATTTAGAAGTAATTTTGAAAACAGTATATAAATGGTGATATGATTTTAAAACTTCGGACTGTGTCACTCCCTGTCAGCGTGCAGTTGGTTGTCTTGTGATAAATGACAGTTGTACTTTGAAACTACAAGCAAAACAATTTATATAGATGGAAGCTACTAATTTATTTAGACAGACCGACAGCAATATTGCTAATAATTAGTGCATGGAATTAGGTGCTCTTTATAGTTTCTAAAAAATAACATTAGTAAAGTTACTAAGTGGATGAATAAGGTTAGGATGTGCATTGATAAATCAGCCAAGACGAAAGATTAAATAAAAAATGAACTAAATAATTTAATTAATTACATAACTACTTATAAATGTTTAAATTCCCATTAATGTTTCTCAAATTATCATCCTCTCCCAGCTATTGCTTACCTAATTTGTATTTGATCAACTTGGATCTCTAATTATCTTTATATATGTATTTGCATTGTGGTTCAGGCATAGAATAGGCCACCCCTTCCTTTCCAGTAAGCGTCGTCATAAGCAACTAAGGGAAGGCGAGGGATGGGCAGCAGCATCCCTTTTAAAACATTTCCAAAGCCTAACTGCGGTTGTCAATCCGTCTGCTAAGCGTGCCAACTACTGGCAAAACCCTCTCAAGGAGGAGGCTTATGTTCAGCATAGGACAGTTAAAGGCTGATATAATGATGATGATTATTTTATAATAATAAATAATGGGATTAATAAATAATATAATTCACGGTAAATATTTTAAGAAATAGACAAATTTCTATATATACTTCTATTGTTTCTCCAAAATCTGGCTTGTGCATAACTATTATTTTTGCTTAAGTAATACCGTATATGCATAATACTCGTACTTATAATTTTTAAACGACGAAGTCTCAATTTGACTGTTTCTGTATGTATGTTACGCGATATCTTCGCCAATCCATATACAAATAGATACAAAACGGTTCCATATTATTGTCAGGAATTAAAGTACGCCATTTTTTATGGAATAAAATCTTAAATTGTTCTTAATAGTCGGTCCTTAGTAGGTATTTACTTTTTCTTAGGTAGCGACCGCTTGCGGTGACCGCTATACCTATTTATGTAAATATTTCAGCTCCAGTTTATTGTTGTAAAGGGTCAGCCAATTAATGATAATACTGTATTTTCCATTGTAGGCTCAATTGGAAGCAGAAATCGAAAATTTGTCCTGGAAAGTGGAAAGAGCAGAGACAACAGATCGTGGTGATTTAGAAAATCAAATGGATATAGCAGAAAAAAGACGCACTACATTATTAAAAGATTTTCTAGAATTTAACACAAATAACGCCTCCAGTAGTACTAAGGTGTAAATGAACTTATTTGCATTTGAATAATTAGTAACACAGTAAGGGTGGCGTGACACCATTGTGTAATATGTATTTGTAAGAGCTAGATCTTTTGTTCTGCCAAAGTATATTTATTACATTAACATAAATTTGCAATAAAATAGATAATACATATTTTTTGTTTTTTAATATTAGATTAGAAAGACACGGGAACAGGATTTTTTCGCAATGGAAACTAATAACCCCATTACTAGCAATAGATCCTGCCAGGTTAACCTCTATCCCGTTCCTCCTCAAGTCCGTCCGTCAAGTCATTGTAGCTAAATCCTATTAAATTAATCACGATGGGGCATCTGATTTGATTACATAGGAGGGAAAGGAAGTATTAGTAACAGGGATGAACAATCCTATTCCATACAATATTCCCTCTTATTTCGATCTGTGCATGGTACCTCCAAAAATCGTTGAATTCGTCGTAATGGGCTAACTGACCTGCTTTCAACCTCGCATATCATATCATTGGTGTCCCACCATTGTATGTAGATTAAATCATCCTTATATGGACGTCAATGTTTCCTTCACCAAATTTCTAAACGCTCGCTGATTTTACGCTTTTTACAGGTTATTATTACCTATTTAATAAATAGGCACTACACTATTACTTTTAAACGATTATTTAATGTAAAAATTAGTTATGTATTACGATTTCATATTTTTTTTAATGCCATCAGTAATAAGGTGGTGATCGTTAAAATTAGTGTGACTCAATAGCAGATAATAAGAAAAATTTGAATGACGGGTCTCAATTATAATATCTCCTTTTAACTATAAAAACCATGCCATTTGAAAAATCCCTGGTGTAGATACGCAACGACGCAATGGACAAGAAAATCTTATCGTATCGCCGATAAAATTGCAGTGTTTCTTCCAACTTAGACAATAGCAAAATCTTTACAGCCCCGATGGAGCCATAATATAAAAAAGAGGAATAGAAGCCGAAATATTTTTTTTTTATTTCTGGCGTCACCCAAAAACTACGGTACTAAATTGAATGTGGTTTTCAGTGTTGTATTCCTGATGGTCTAACTTAAAAATCTGGTCTGTTTTATTATGATTCGCTATCTATAAGTGGTTTATTTGTTATGTCTTTTTTTTCTATTTATGAAATTTACTTTCGTAAAGTAATGGGCAAAATTTTGTTCTCCTAGTTTTGTAGAGGCAGCAGCAACCTCCATTCGCTAATTGCTTTTAGATAATACAAAATAAATTAATAGCAATTAAATTTATATGTCTGTATTTCTGTATAGTAGCGATGAATAGAATAGAATAAATATTTATTGTGAGCTGTACATTAAAATTTTTCGTATGATGTTATTAACGTCTTAAAGAAAAACAGCCTATCCATACATCGGGCATACAATATAATTAATTACATAACATGAACTATTTTACAATCACACAACAAAATCGTTAATTAAATTGAAAATAAAATAAAGAACGTCAATCAGCAGTCACAAACTAACTCATGGTCACCATTAGAATATATTAATGATCATCTTATATATTAATTAAATTATTTATAATGTCAATATAAAAAAATGTCAAAGAGCAAAGAATTAATTCAAATTGTAAAAAGCATTTTCAAGTAGCCATTTTTTAAATAATAATTTGAATTTATTATTAGGCACTTCTTTTAGATTATTTGGCAAATGATTGTATATTTTTATAGCCATTATATAATTTTTATAGCCATAGATGCGCGATTCTACTAATCCGACTACTAATTTTATTCATCCAACTACTAATGTTAGCCAAATACTAATATAGTCCGATTATATTAGTCGGGCATTCAACTATTAATTTTATATTTATTAGTAGTCGTTGATGTACAAATCGACACGAACATAACTTAGGCATGTGTGATTTTGTCAATTTAAATTTAGTAAAAAAATATAAATTTTTACTAAAAGTAATTAAAGTAAATAAAATTTTAGGAAAAATATTTATTATAATATATATAATATATATATAATAACTATTGCAATTTGGTATAAATATAATATATTTATACCAAATTGCAATAGTTATTATTTAAATAAGCAGGAAAGTAAGTAATTAAGGAATTATTATTACTTATATTATGACATTAATGTATTTACTGCCGTTTTTTTCGTCGTTATTTTCGACATAATGATAAGTAGTGGATGGACTTGGTGGTAGTAAATACAGATGAAGGATATTGTTGCAATTAGTTTTTATTTAGTAAAATCATTCGAATACTCGTAATATTCGAGTTAGTATGTTACTAGTATAGTAATTGCATTAAAAAATTAGTAATTACTAATTATTTGAATAATAAAATCATTCGGATTCGTACATTGCTACTGTACCTATTATAGCATGTGGCTCTTTTACCTGAAAAAGAAATAGTTAAATTTATACAATATTATAACAATTCTAAGAACAAGGAATTACATAGAAAGAATGATAAATAAATATCAATATGAACAAACATTTTACATACACATTTTTTATACACTAGCCTGTTATGAATTGAGACAAATAGTAACTGATGGTGTATCTTTTGTCCTCTTTTTACTAATTATATTTGCATAAAAAGAAAGGAGGAATTATATTATTTATGTTTTTATTTTATCATTCCTTCTATGTAATTCCTTGTTCTTAGTCTACGAACTTATAAAAAAGGCCGTTGTGTTTTTCTCTCTCTAACGCATTGGCATTGTCATAAATACAACGAGCAACACACAATGTGAATTAAGCATTCCATGTATTCTATTTCGAAATCTTTAGCAACGACAGTTTATCACCATACAAAACGTTTAGTATTATTCATCTCTTCTATTTAGATTTCAACATTAGAAGAACTCTCATTTACCTTAGTATTAAAGTATATTATATGAAGTCTATGGGATTTACTAAAATGGAACAAGAATAATTTATTACCAGAAATTGACTGATGACAGCAGATTTATTATATCGGTGCGGGAAAAACAGAACAAAAAAAAATATGAATGTCAAATCGTATGAAGTTTACGATCATAGACAAAAATATCTATGGTAGTGAGTACCTGTAAAATCACCAAATCTGTATCTTTAGTTTAGTCAACAAAATGGCTACGACCAATGACTCAAAGGCGCCATTGCGCCAAGTAAAAAGAGTACAATTTGGTATATTATCTCCAGATGAAATCGTAAGTTCTAATTTTAATGATATTAATTTTTTTTAGGTTTTGGTTTTATTTTATTCACTGGCATACACACGTGTATGCCAGTGAATAAGTATCTTCCATTATGAATATGAAGTTATGTCTTATCAGCTTGTAATTCCAACTTTGTATTGACGTGATGAAATAAATATATAGGAAATTAATGGTTTTTGTCATTCATGATTGTCATCACAGATACTTCATCAGTCCAGTATCTTGTAATATGAAAAAACTCACATGGAACAAGCATGTTTGAATGTTTTTGTTGCACAATATTATAAAAGAACACAAGCTGTAGTAGTACATAAATCTAAACATGAACGTAAAAGCGGATGTATGTAAAGCCTCGAATAAGGCTACAAGATAAGGAGAGCAAAACTGAATAAAAAGGAAATGTTTATTTAGGCCTTTTTCCCTTTGAATTGAGCTGATATCATCATGCATATCTCGTATGGTTTTCTACCAGTTTGTGTTTAATATACACTTAATATTATGTTTATACATTAGTTTATCTTTTTAATTGCTTGTAGATATGAATAGTATCATAGTCAAGTAATGTTTATTTATTATTAGTATGTCTAAGTACTACATAAATTTATTTTAGTTTATATTTATGCCCTACACAAATTAAAACAGTGATACATGCACAGCTGATTAGTTGCAGGTATATGAATGCATCAGAAGTTTCAAGTAGACACCTTTTCTATGATTTATATTTTGTACCTGAATAAAATGGGTAAACACATATTATGACAATTTTAATCTACACTAACAAATCTGTAGAATACAGCTAATATGAAATATATTAGAAATAGTATATGTGTAAAATAAGAACAATGAAGCACTGTAGATTCCTCTACCTGTATATATCAAGTATCTATGTCTAAAGTGTATCTTGTGTATTAAAAGAAATATCATTTTTAGCGACGTATGTCAGTCACAGAAGGGGGGATACGCTTCCCCGAAACAATGGAAGGTGGAAGACCCAAGCTTGGAGGACTTATGGATCCTCGACAAGGGGTGATTGATAGGAGTTCCAGATGCCAGACTTGTGCTGGAAACATGACAGAATGTCCTGGACATTTCGGACACATTGATCTGGCAAAGCCAGTGTTTCACATAGGTTTTATAACAAAGACAATAAAAATATTAAGATGCGTTTGTTTTTATTGTTCAAAATTGCTAGTGAGCCCGGTAAGATATATTTTGTTAACATTTATTACCTATTATGAAATTGATATTTTTACTGTTTTAACTTTCCTTGTTTGTATTTGCTGTAGAGATAAATGATTTATTTATCTATTAGCTTGTCTGAAAATATTTTAACTTGTATTTTTTAATTGTAGACTAATCCAAAAATAAAGGAAGTTGTTATGAAATCAAAAGGACAGCCACGTAAAAGATTGACATATGTATATGACTTGTGTAAAGGTAAAAATATATGTGAAGGGGGTGAAGATATGGATATAGGGAAAGAAGGAGAAGAAGGCAAAAGAGGATCAGGCCATGGTGGGTGTGGTCATTATCAGCCATCTATCAGGCGACAAGGGTTAGACCTTACAGCAGAATGGAAGCATGCTAATGAAGATACTCAGGAAAAGAAAATTACTATAACAGCAGAAAGAGTATGGGAAATTCTCAAACATATCACAGGTAATATATATGTATATATAAATTAATTAAATTCATCTCTTCATCTCTCAATCTACTCATATTTTAACACTACATTCTTCTGAAACCCTTTCTCTTATGACTCCTCATTTTACTAAATTTTTTCATAATTGCTTTACTGCTTCTAGTGTTAAGTTATAACATTTATTACCAGTTCCTATTAGAACTGCAAAATCCATTAAAGCTTTCAGGCGACAAGTAAAAGATTACCTTCTTTCTATCTGACAGGTTCTTCATTTGACAAATTGAATTTTTTTTATTTATGTACTTATATAATAGCTTATTTTATGTTAATAATATTTTGCCTGTAATTATATCTTATATATAAAATTCTCATGTCACGGTGTTTGTTACCAAACTCCTCCGAAATGGCTTTACCGATTTTTATGAAATTTTGTGTGTATATTGGGTAGGTCTGAGAATCGGCCAACATCTATTTTTCATACCCCTCAATAATAAGGGTGACCCTCCCCAAAAAAAAATTTTTTTTTGACAAATTTTTCCATTTTTATTTTATTATGATTTAGCATTGAAAAATACATACAACCTCAAATTTTCACCGTTTTACGATCAACTCCTGTTTTTTAATCGCGATTTTTATATGCTGCAATAGGGTTGCAAGATGGTAGTCCAATATAATAATTGTAGTACAATAAATTTTCATGTATAGTTCTAAAAATAATGTATATGGTAAAACCGAGTCAGCTATATATATATATATATATATATATATATATATATATATATATCTGTGCCTCTAGTGAGAAAGGGTTCAATTCAAAATGGTCACTTTTCAGGAGAGCCAAAAAACTATTTTAAATAAAGAAAAAAAATTCTGCTGCTTTTATTATTTGCTAATTGAACAAGTCAATGATTGCATTTATAGTAATTTTTTCTCCTCTTTCTTATGAAATTGTCGGTTTTTGTGTAAAACCTATAGTTTTAAAAATAATTCTATTATACCTAATCACACTTAACAAAAATATTAAAATTATGATGTGAAAATAGTTTTAAGTTGAATTAAAACTATTTTATTGAAGTATTGAAGAAAAACAATGATGTGTATTTTACGATATAAAAAAATAATCGCTATTAAATGGTGTAAAAGGGTTCAAATCGAACTGTTTCATTTTACAAAAATAATTTTTGTAAAATATTGTAGTTTTATTTCTAATTATGACTTTTTTACCACAAATATTTTGTTAATTGTAGCCTTTTACATGTTTACTATCTCTATTGTTTTTAAAGATATCGTAACGATTCTTATACCATTCGAAAGAGAAAAATTTGCTTATTTAAAGTAGCCTAAAAAAGAAAAAGGCTATAACTTGAGTTATACCCTTTCTCACTAGAGGCACAGATATATATATATATATATATATATTCTTTATTGCACTTGTAAGTTACATATAAAATAGGTAGTTATATAGATTTCGGGTATAACGCCGGTAAAGGGACCACTCTATTTTCGTCGCTATATCTGGAAGTCGTTATAGGCAAAGATAAAGAGATATAGACATGTACACATGTATAGTATCTTCGTACAAGTCAGCATTGTTTTCAATTTTGAAATGATTTTCGCCTTTTTTTTTTAACAGTGAATGTGCGTCGAGGCAGTTATACTTATCCAAAAGTTTATTAAACTCAGTTGCTATTCAATATCACTTTGTAACTGAACCATAAATTCAACTCCGAAACGTACACATTTCCCTACCTACGTAGCTGATAGTTATAACCAATAGGTAAAGGTATCCATACTTGCTGACCATCTGTATGAATGTAAACAAAAGGTTAGAAATGTTTGTGAAAGAAAGAAATCTTGTTGTCTCTTCGGCGGCCTACTTCGGTCGCAATATCTGCATGGGATTTCTAGGAATTTGTTACAAATGATTCATTAGAAACAGTCGCTACACCCGAATTCGGCGTTACATCCAAAGTCGCTATAGCCTCATTAATTTTGTACTAAAAATACTTTAAATTCAAGGGATTTAAATTTAACGTCGCTATAGGTAAATGGTTGCTACAACTAAGGTCGTAATAAATGAAATCCACTGTAATTGTTTTCCTTAATGTTTAAGTTTAAGCTGTTATTTCAAACTTCTTTAATTGTACAATTTTATCATACCTACTTGTAGGACAATTAGACTTTTACCCTAAAGTTGTCTTGAAAAAATTGCTTTCAGCAATAAGACTGCCTTACTATATTATTTATACAATTGTATCATCATATTAATCATGTTATTTATTTCCTATATTGTGTAATACAAATAAAGTATACAGGGGGAAAGGGATTGTTAGTAATGGAGACTGAGAATCCCATTCCTCGCGGTTCCCCCTGGATACAATCATGGTTAATTCCTGATGAATTCATCATGATTGGCTAACTGACCTGTTTTCATTCTCATCAATCACCCTTCACTGGTGCTCCGCTAGCGTATCCCGTTAGCGAAGGTGGGGTTACCATACCATTTTCACCCATAAAAAAATAAAGTATACACATTAATTCATATATATAACATTGCTGTTAGTATAGGTAAAAACCGAAATATGTTTAAAATAATGATTTTACAGTTTATTTTATCATTTATATATAGTTGCTACTTTTCACTTAATTTTTCCAAATTGCAGCTAGATTGTGTTACCACTTGTTATATTCAGAATAATATAGGAAGTAACTAAAAGAATAAATATAGCAAAATGAGAAGTGGATTATTTAATATAATAATAATTATCATGAATGTAAATGGCACTTTTGATCTCTCCTGTCTTTTGTAGTGATTACAGTTATTTTTTTCAGACGAAGAATCTTTCATATTAGGCATGGATCCCAAATTTGCTAGACCTGACTGGATGATAGTTACAGTACTTCCTGTTCCACCATTGTCAGTAAGACCTGCTGTAGTTATGTTTGGTGCTGCTAAAAATCAAGATGATCTGACTCACAAACTTTCTGACATAATAAAGGCAAACAATGAATTAATGAGAAATGAACAGTCTGGAGCAGCGGCCCATGTGCTTGCTGTGAATATCAGAATGTTACAGTTTCATGTTGCCACATTTGTGGATAATGATATGCCTGGTATGCCAAAGTAAGTAATTTATATTATAAAAGTTCAAAAAAATTATTGAAATTAATGTGTTTTCAATTTTATAATTTCTTTATGTGATTTACAGAGCTATGCAGAAGTCTGGTAAACCTTTGAAAGCTATAAAGGCACGTCTCAAAGGAAAAGAGGGCAGAATTAGAGGAAATCTTATGGGAAAACGTGTGGACTTTTCAGCTCGTACTGTCATTACACCTGATCCAAATTTACGTATTGATCAAGTTGGTGTACCACGATCAATTGCACAAAATTTAACATTCCCTGAATTAGTGACTCCTTTTAATATTGACAGAATGCAGGAACTTGTTAGGAGAGGAAATGCACAATACCCTGGAGCTAAATATATAGTACGAGACAATGGTGAAAGAATAGATTTAAGATTTCATCCCAAACCATCTGATTTGCACTTACAATATGGTTATAAAGTGGAACGCCATTTACGAGATGATGATCTCGTTATTTTCAATCGACAGCCTACATTACATAAAATGAGTATGATGGGTCACAGGGTCAAAGTATTGCCTTGGTCAACATTTCGTATGAATTTGAGTTGTACGTCCCCATACAATGCTGATTTTGATGGAGATGAAATGAATTTGCATGTACCACAGTCTATGGAAACTCGTGCGGAGGTTGAAAATATTCACATTACACCAAGACAGATTATTACTCCACAAGCTAACAAACCTGTAATGGGTATTGTGCAGGATACTTTGACAGCTGTAAGAAAAATGACAAAACGCGATGTCTTTTTAACAAAAGAACAGGTAATGAATCTACTGATGTTCCTTCCCACATGGGATGGCAAAATTCCACAACCCTGCATTTTAAAACCACAACCTTTATGGACTGGAAAACAAATATTTACTCTTATTATTCCTGGTAATGTAAATATGATTAGAACCCATTCTACACATCCTGATGAAGAAGATGATGGACCATATAAATGGATTTCACCAGGAGACACTAAAGTAGTGGTGGAACATGGAGAGCTTCTTATGGGAATCTTATGTAAGAAGTCACTTGGTGCTTCAGCTGGTTCTTTGCTGCATATTTGCATGTTAGAATTAGGCCATGAAGTAGCAGGACGATTTTATGGAAATATTCAAACAGTAATTAATAACTGGCTTTTATTGGAGGGTCATTCTATTGGTATCGGTGACACTATTGCTGATCCACAGACATATCAAGAGATTCAGCGTGCTATTGTGAAGGCCAAAGATGATGTCATAGAAGTTATTCAGAAAGCTCACAACATGGAATTAGAGCCTACACCTGGTAATACTCTCAGACAAACATTCGAAAATCAAGTAAATCGTATTTTGAATGACGCTCGTGACAAAACTGGTGGTTCAGCTAAAAAATCCTTGACAGAATATAACAATCTGAAGGCTATGGTAGTAGCTGGTTCTAAAGGTTCAAATATTAATATTTCTCAAGTTATTGCTTGTGTGGGTCAACAAAACGTTGAAGGTAAACGAATTCCATTTGGATTTCGGAAGAGAACTTTGCCGCACTTTATTAAAGATGACTATGGTCCAGAATCCAGAGGATTTGTAGAAAATTCTTATCTTGCTGGGTTAACGCCATCCGAGTTTTATTTCCACGCTATGGGAGGTCGTGAGGGTCTCATTGATACAGCTGTCAAAACTGCCGAAACAGGGTATATTCAGCGTCGTCTTATAAAGGCTATGGAGTCCGTAATGGTACATTACGATGGGACAGTTCGTAATTCTGTTGGCCAACTTATTCAGTTAAGATATGGTGAGGACGGATTGGCTGGTGAAACAGTAGAATTCCAAAATCTTCCTACTGTGAAATTGTCTAACAAGGCATTTGAAAAGAAATTCAAATTTGATCCTTCAAATGAGAGATATCTCAAGAGGATTTTCAATGAAGATATTATTAAAGAATTAACAGAGTCAGGTTATGTTATTGCTGACCTAGAAAGTGAATGGGAACAATTATCTAAAGACAGAGAAATTCTTCGCCAAATTTTCCCCAGTGGGGAGTCAAAAGTTGTGTTGCCTTGTAATTTTAAACGAATGATCTGGAATGTACAAAAGATTTTCCACATAAACAAAAGAATGCCAACAGATTTAAGTCCAATAAAAGTTATACAAGGTGTAAAAGACCTTCTTAAAAAGTGTGTGATTGTGGCAGGAGAAGACCGTTTATCTAAACAAGCTAATGAGAATGCAACATTGTTGTTTCAATGTTTGGTCAGGTCTACCTTATGCACTAAATTTGTATCTGAAGAATATAGATTGTCTAGCGAAGCTTTTGAGTGGCTAATAGGAGAAATAGAAACCCGTTTCCAACAAGCCCAAGTAAATCCTGGTGAAATGGTTGGTGCATTGGCTGCTCAGTCTCTTGGTGAGCCTGCTACTCAGATGACATTGAACACTTTCCATTTTGCTGGAGTATCGTCTAAAAATGTAACCCTTGGTGTGCCACGTCTAAAAGAAATTATTAACATTTCTAAGAAACCAAAAGCACCGTCTTTAACTGTATTCTTAACAGGAGGTGCTGCTAGAGATGCTGAAAAGGCTAAAAATGTTCTTTGTCGATTAGAGCACACAACATTGCGAAAGGTTACAGCAAATACGGCTATTTACTATGATCCTGAGCCGCAAAATACTGTTATTGCTGAAGATCAAGAATTTGTAAACGTGTATTATGAAATGCCTGATTTTGATCCTACTAAAATATCGCCATGGCTATTACGTATTGAATTAGATCGGAAGAGGATGACTGATAAGAAACTTACTATGGAACAAATAGCTGAAAAAATTAATGCTGGATTTGGAGATGACTTAAATTGTATTTTCAATGATGACAATGCAGAAAAGCTTGTTTTACGTATAAGAATTATGAATAATGAAGAAAACAAATTCCAAGATAATGATGAAGAAACAGTAGACAAAATGGAAGACGACATGTTTTTGAGATGCATAGAAGCTAACATGTTATCGGATATGACATTGCAAGGCATAGAGGCCATAGCAAAAGTGTACATGCATTTGCCTCAAACAGAAGCCAAAAAGCGAATTATTATTACAGAACAAGGAGAATTTAAGGCTATTGCTGAATGGTTACTTGAAACTGATGGTACTTCATTAATGAAAGTACTCTCGGAACGTGATGTTGATCCTATCAGAACTTTCAGTAACGACATTTGTGAAATATTCCAAGTATTAGGCATTGAAGCTGTACGTAAATCAGTAGAGAAGGAAATGAATGCGGTTTTGCAATTCTATGGTTTATACGTGAACTACCGTCATCTTGCCTTGCTTTGTGACGTTATGACTGCAAAAGGTCATCTCATGGCTATTACACGTCACGGCATTAATAGACAAGATACGGGAGCCTTGATGAGATGTTCCTTCGAAGAAACGGTGGACGTGTTGTTGGAGGCAGCCGGCCATGCTGAAGTCGATCCCATGAGAGGTGTATCAGAGAACATTATTATGGGACAATTGCCGAGAATGGGAACTGGTAAGATATAATTTCTTAGTAGATATATTATTGGTAATTGTTTATTATTATTTATTTATAAATAAATTATCTATTCAGGATGTTTCGATTTACTACTTGATGCTGAGAAATGCAAGCACGGAATGGAGATGGGAGGACTTGGAGTTGGAATGGGAGTTGGTGGTGGAATGTACTTTGGTGTTGGAACACCATCCATGACACCCCTTATGACTCCATGGTCTACACAGAACACACCTGGATATGGCAGTAGTGTCTGGTCTCCAGGTCAAGGTATAACATAACTTTTTTTTATTATAAAGTCTACTCGCTTTCAAGAATTAAGAATAACATAGGTATAATTCTAGATGAGACAGAAGTATTTGTTGATGGTTATAATAATACTTAACGTAACACTTCTACATGTACCACTCAGCATATTTGAATATATAACGGTCGGTGGCAAATTTACCGCTTGCATTATTATTAATTTTGTTTGTTAACGGTGTTCTCCTCACCGGGAAATTAGTTGGAAATTTAATTTGTCTTAGATTTTGCTATTGGCTAGACTTGAACTTATGACTATTGGGGTCTAGAATTTTGGGTATTATGCCACTAGGACACGACAATTTCTATTGACATTACAATTTAATAAAATAATTCCATAATTTATTAATTGCAGTTGGCAGCAGTATGACGCCTGGTGGCCCATCATTCTCACCTTCTGGTGCATCAGATGCATCTGGATTGTCGCCAGCATACAGCGCATGGTCTCCTCAACCTGGATCTCCAGGCTCTCCTGGGCCGCCGCTGTCGCCCTATGCATCTCCAGCAGGAGCGTCTCCATCGTATTCACCTACAAGTCCTGTATATGCGCCAGCTTCTCCCAGTCTAACACCGACATCGTCACATTACCCTCCGACCAGTCCTTCATACTCTCCTACATCTCCGAACTATTCTCCTACTTCACCTATATATTCGCCAACTTCTCCAAGTTATTCGCCCACATCACCTGGTTATTCGCCCACGTCTCCTTCTTACTCGCCAACATCACCTAGCTATTCACCGACTTCTCCTAGTTACTCACCTACTAGTCCAGCTTATTCTCCAACTTCCCCAAGTTATTCACCCACATCACCTAGTTACTCACCAACTAGTCCGTCATATTCGCCGACTAGTCCATCATATTCTCCAACAAGTCCATCATATTCTCCAACATCCCCTGGTTACTCGCCCACGTCTCCTAGCTATTCTCCAACAAGCCCAGTTTATAGTCCAGCTTCGCACAGTTACTCACCATCTTCACCAAATTATACCCCGACATCCCCTGCTTATTCACCAACGAGTCCTTCTTATTCACCAACATCTCCGGCATATTCTCCAACTTCACCAAATTATTCGCCTTCATCACCAAAATACACACCGACGTCACCAAATTATTCACCTACATCGCCGTCACTTGCTGGTGGCAGTCCTACTTATTCACCTACGAGCCCGCAATATTCACCTACAAGTCCTCAGTATTCTCCTACTAGTCCAGCATATTCACCGTCGTCTCCGCAACACCCTGGAAGTATGCGTTATTCGTCCTCACCAAATTATTCTCCATCGTCACCGAATTATTCGCCGTCATCGCCGGGCTATTCACCATCATCGACAAAGTATTCGCCGACATCCCTAACTTATACCCCAACATCTCCTAACTATTCACCTTCATCTCCTGCGTATTCTCCAAATTCCGCTGGTCCCTCAACATACTCCCCCAATTCGCCTACATATTCTCCGACTTCACCTGTCTACGACGATAGTGACGATTAAGTATCAATTAACTCGCCTACATTTTTATTATATTATATACTTTTTTTAAAATATTGTATTTAGTTTCATTACGTTAGTTATGAATACGTTGGAAAATGGGACTTGTATTATTCGATATTCTACCTAGAAAGAGATTCAAAATGATTTAAATGCTATTAAATATTTTGCAATTTACTTAATTTTTAAAATAATTATATTTAGTTAATGTTGTTATATAATAAGAGTTAATATACACGTGACTATCTTTGTTAATATTAGGAGTATAATGTTCATATAATTTTGGATTTGGAATAATTCCTATTTTTGATAGATCGAGGTAAAGAATTTAAGCTAGATTTAATTAGGTTATAGTAAATTTGTCTTATAATTATTATGAAGTGAAATTAAAATATAAATAATTATAATTGTTTTTTATTTTTTCGTATTTGATATAACTTTATTTTTTGAAACTTCTTAGACAATCTCAAAATTAATACGTCAGTAAAGGTGATACTAAGTTCCTTTTTACGAATCGATTTTGTTTATCTCGGTGGTGGTTGGTGCCGGTGGAGAGACATGTGCTCTTATGTAACACAAAAACTATGTCGATTTCGAATTGATTCTGTTAATTTTTATTATAAAATATTTACTTCAATATTGTTTCATATCTAATTTTATCAGAGGTGAAGGCTATATAATAAAATTGTAATTAGACGATGTTTGAATGTAGAATATTTGAGAAATATTCATATAAGAGTAAAAGAAGCCAAAAGATTTTACAATTTTTGGCGGTCTGTCTGCGTTATTAACATAACTAAAAACTATTGTATCAAATTCCGGTTTTCATAGTCATGTTCCTTAAGGTTACCAACTATACCATTTACTGAGTTTTGTAGTCCTTTTTCGCAAACCGTTCTCTTTTCAAATCCTATACTCTGAAAGTATTGATTTGTATGATTTTATACTTATTTGTATTTCTAAAACATTTTTTTTAGATTTTATTAAAATATAATATTATTAATTAAATATTTACTGACAATTTTCTCTTTGAAGAAATTCGAATAGTAAATTTATATTTAAATGAAAAATTGAAGAAATGGAACGATGAGAAAATAGAACTTGACAAAAGATGGGTAGAAATCTTTCATCATTTTAGAGTAGAACATACCCCACATGAAAATTTTAAAGTTTTAATAGAAATTTCCTTATGTTGTCCAGGCACTAATGCTGCTTTTGAAAGCGTATTTTCACTAGAGAATGATTATTGGAGCAGTAAGAAGTCGCAACTTTTTGTAAAAACATATGTAGTCTTAACAGTCAAATTTAATATGCAAAATGAAAGTTGTTCTGATGTGGTTACATTATTAGACGAATATCCTTATTTAGCAAAAAAAAAAAAACCACTCTGAACTCTGACACTAAAAATATGTCTTTAAAAGAAAATAAAGTTTATTTTCTTTTAAAAACATAATTATAAGAAAATAAACTTTTAAATATGTTTAAAAGTTTATTTTAAACATATATAACATATTTGCCCCCTGTGTTGTAAAAAAAAATATATATATCGTTTTTCCTTCTTTTTTTTAACCAATGAAAAACTTGCAAAGTGTACTCTTTTTGAACAAAAATAGTTGGTCACTTTATGTTCCTGGAGATCCAGCATAAAATATGGTGAGGATATGTTAATCTTGATATACCCTCTGGGTTTAAATTATTTTTCTTACGCAACAAAACAGACTTTCTAGAGAAAGATAACTCATATCCAAAATTCACACATATGAAGTCCTGAACAGAAGCTAGTGTAAAATAAATAATATTTTTTAGAGTCCCGGCATGTTCTAAGGCATAGTATAAGGCACCTCAAGTGTTTACAGATAATATGGGCAAAATTTTATAGGAGATATAAAAAATCCCAATTCTGTATTTTTATTTTAAATACAATGAAATTAAAAAGTAGTTAATACAAATTAACATACTGAGGTAAAAGTTCTTTCTCTAGGTAATATAAAAAAGGAAATATGTAAATATATAATTAAGTTATATCAAACATTTTTACAACTATTCAATTAGAAAGTATCGGTGGTTAAATGTTGTTTGGCTTTCATTAACGGATTGAAATAGAATGATGCAATCGCCTATGGTAATGGTATACAATGATTGGGTGCCAGTGAAGAATAAAACGATAAAGATGAAATTAGGTCAGTTGGCCCATCGTGGTGAATATGATAAAAATTACCTATCATGGTTTCCAGGGGAGACCGCGTGGATGTCGATCTTACATGGTATATTGTTAGCAATTGGAATTAGCGTTCTACTTACTAACAACTCCTTTGAATTCACTTGTCTGTTGGCTTATAAATAATGAGAATTTTTGAATATTTTGTCTTTTTGAATATTATTTGAAAGCTACTTCTTCTGTAAAAGTATTCATTGCGAGTCAACGATTTTAAGCAGATGCAGAATTAAAAAAAAAATAGAAAGAACTGTTCAGGGCAATAATTATCTTGCTTAGAATTAGATACTTGATACCCAATATTACTGATATTTATTATAATAAAACAAAGTTTTATGACTGGACCGCTTTTGGGTTCAAAGAATTTATTTTCTTATAAGAACAATATCCCTTAAACTGATACTTAATAATAATTTTAAATTATTACATTTGCCTGAAGAACATAAGTTACAATCTTAGTTACAATGTAGGTAAGTAGGTGCATTGCATACCCATTTTAAAATGTTATTGTACATGTATTTGTTATTTTGTTTTATATTGTTTGGCTATTTGTGTACGTATTTTGTACGTTTGACAAATAACAGTTTATGACAAAATTTTACAATCGTTACGATAAAAGACATTATAAGTGCATTATTCACGAATACGTGAAATCTTATTTTGAAACATTTAAAAGATTTATAAAACGGCGAAGTTTATTATTATTATTATTGGATATAAGTATTTTAAAATTATTTTTATTTAGTTATTTTGTTAATGAACAATATATATTCATTTAAGGAATTGTTAGTAATCGGGAATAGCGATTTGCGGTGCCAGTAATATCAGGTCGATTTAACAGCGATCCCCTTAGAAACCGTGGTTAATTCTTGGTGAATTTATCACGATGGGCCTAATGACCTGATTTCATTCTCACCTATTACTTCTTACTAGTACCGGTACACCGATAGCGCAGACTCGATTATCATTCAATCACCCATAAAAAAAAATTTTGTAAAGTCATAATGTATTGGCGAATAGTAAACTCACTTAACGATTAGGTACTAAGAAGACAAACGTGTTTGGCGTTTGTTGGTCATATATTTTTTTCTAATTATATATCTACCTAATTCAATGTTTTATAAATATATAAACATTGACTAATTTTAAAAAATTGAGTTTCGTATGATTCGTATTTTTCCATACGATAGATAATAAACGTCCGTAATCATACAGTAGAATCATGACAAAAAATGATTAGAATAGTCGTAAACAAGTTTATTTAAATAAATTATATCCAGTGTTTAAGATTATGCATAAAGTACTTATGATGGGACTAAGCAAGTGATGACCATTTTGGGACTATTTGTATTTCATCACTAGAAATGCATTAGGCGGTTATTGGCCTTTTTTGATCTAAATACAGTTATTCAGAACCTAAATAATTAATATATATTTTTAACAATATGTTTGAGATACACATAATAAGTATAAGAAATAGAACAATATTATTTCAAATAAGTTTAATGTTTTAAGATAAATAGGTACTTACTTATTTATTATTATCTAAGTATTACAATTACACTGCGTTGATAAAAATACAAACTTATGTAAAATTATCTGTACCTATTGTTGCTTTTTAAGATTCGAACACAGCCATTTTATTAATACTTCCATTTGAAGCTAGGTATACTAATACTAGACCTATATACTAGACCTATAACTAATAGAATAATGAGTATAACAGTTACCTACATATGTAGCAAAACAAATTCGATGTACCTATTTGAGCCAACAAAATACATCATATATTTAAATGGAATCTATATAGGTACTTTTCTAGATAAAATGCCAATAAACTAACCACTTGTTGCTTTATCTGTGCAAAAGAATTTTTTATGCAACTTGAAATGGCAAGCTGATGGTTTACTCCAAAGAATTAACCCCTTATAGACATGAACAGTGCCATGGATATCATATAGTGTTCATGGTACCACTCACGCGTTGCCATTTTTCAGGACTAAGATTATTCTTCCGTACCCTGTAATTTGACTATTATATCCCATTCATCCAGTTGCAACAACTATGCAAACTCAGCCACTTGACGACAGAAACACGAGTGGGACAGAGGGACCTAACTAGACGACTTTCATACGAAGTTTTCTGATAAAACTTTTTATATTATTAATTTATAGTTACATTTTTCTTTGTTGTTTATTTATTTATTAATTAAATACGTACACAAAACAGTTAACTTTATGCTGTAAATTGATTGGAAGAATAAAATAGCAATGGAAGCCTATAACAGTTTAAAAGAATTTGCCTACTGTTGGAAGATAATTAAATACTTATTTAATGTGGATATTAATATCTATTTTCCTCGATATATTTCTATTATTCGATCTTGATCTACATATTCGAAGATATGCGGTGCGTCCATTAAAATACCAACGGTCCCTGCCGTAGTTACAATGAAAAAGATATACAGTTGTAATCTGTCAATTACCATCGCAACATATTTCCAGTCCTCACGAGTCTGAAATAAAAATAACGAGAATATTTCAAAATTTAAGGGTTATAATAGGCAACAGATTCTTCAATAGATTGCTAAGGTTCATCCTCACACCTTTGAAATAGAATTAGCAAATGATAGTGCAGTTTCAGTGGAGTTACCTTTGACGAACGTTCAAATTGTTGTATGGGCTTCCTGTCGAAGTTTTTTCTAGACTATAGAGAGAGTAAAATATGAAGTTTTGTGAAAAGATGGACAGGGTGTGACACCTTGGTGTTACAGGCGTCTATAGCTTACGTTAACCGTCTCCATTACACAGTTCAGATACTTGTTTGTCATCATTTTGATCTTTTTATATCACTGAGGTGGCAAATAAGCAAATGGCCTACTTGATGGTAGGCGTTTACTGTACTGCCTATGAACGGCTACAATACCAGGGGTACTACGCGCGCGTTGCCGACTCTGAAAAAACTTCTTTACTCCCCCTTTTGAGGAGGACCACGCTATAGTCTCTTGAAAAACTTCAACAGGGAGCTTATTTCATAACCTCAGCGTTCGTTGGAAAAAACATCTTTGAAACCGCGTTGTACGCGACCATGTATAAATATATCTCATCAAAAGCATATAAAAATATAAATGTGAAGTGAGATTCAAAATATTACGAATATACGTCGTTTCGAATCCACCGAAAAGAATTAAGATTTATATGCGTGCCAAGTTCTGTGTAAAAAATCTTTTAAAATTTACACGTTACAAGAAAATGCAACATTATAAAATGAATTTATATAATAAGTTATTGTTTTTGCTGCTGCTACAATGTTTGTTTTTAAATAGGTATTATAAATTAATAAATTTTATTACACAATGCATTACTAATAAACTAGCTAAGCTAAATCTTGACCTTAAATTACCTCCCAAGTGAAATAAATACCAAAAGAGATACGATGAATATATCTTTTTGGTTACTTATTATTAATAATTTTCAGTGTTCATATTTTTTTCATTTTATAAGCTTAATAGTATATATCTTGATGCCAAATATCAAGGTTTTAGGTCATTTGGAAGTGCGTTAGGTTTTTGATCTGTCAGTGAATCAATCATAAAAATGCTGGTTTTTAAATGTTAATATATCAACAACTATTTGAGCAACATTTATAATATTATGGATTCTAGATAAGCTAAGAGTCTTTCATAATTGTGCCATTTCCATGTGCGTAGGTTAAATAGGTTTCGAGTTGTGAGGGGGTCAAAAATAGTTTGAAATGATTCGTGTAATATTACACTCGAGTGTTGCATCGTCAGTTCCTTTTTCTTTGAACTTGGCTGGACACGCGACTGCGATCTATTCTCTAGATGTTTTAAAATTAATAGATAACAAAAATAGACTTAATAAAAATTTTCACCTGAATGTATAGATCTTCGTTGCGCAAGTGTTCTGCAATAAATTCGACAGCTTCTGTGGCTTTGGCAGCTTCAGGTGACAATAGTAGAGAGTCAGAGCTTTCTGATTCCCTTCGCTCACCTCCTAGGCCTAGGCCTCCTAAAGCGCCGAGGCCACTTAATGCACCCACTTCACCACCACCGCCAGCCGCGCGGTTTATTTTACAGTTCGGATGGTGCAGATCGGATAACTCCATTGCTTCCATTTTACTTTGTTTTGCTCCTATTGCACTGTAAAAGTTAAATGCGATTTTGTATACTAAAATGTAATTATTAAGGTCTGCTAGATATCTTAATATAAATAATCCCGCTACTCATGTAAACTTAGGGTTCCATACACATTTGTAACTAAGTAGGATTTTTAGATAAAAATTGATATTTTATTTTTGTATGAAAAATTAATTAAATTGGTCTTGTGGAATGTGTTATTGTGTTGCTTATATGTAATAGGTAATCTATTAATAATTGCTTATTGCTTCTATTGCGTTAAGGATTTCCTTACTTAGTGTTATAATTGTGGTTAAAAACTGGATCGCATTATTATGTTTATTTCTAAAAGTTTTATTAGTAATTTTTCGACAACTGTTTTAGTTAGAAACATTTTATTTATATATTTAATTTAATATTAACATAGTAATATAATTATCCTTTCGACCTCATCAGTTGATAGTTCTTTTCGATTTTTTCGGGATACAGTGGTTTCTGAAACTTTATCAAACAGCAATATAATATACCTGATATGCTTAGGCAAGTCGTGTGGAGCAGCAGCGTGAGGCGGAGCACCCATGCCGGGCATTTCCATCATCCAACGCAAGCGCGTTTTGCGAGGACGGCGCATCAGTAAAGCTGCCGGCAGATAGTGTAGGAAGACGCTCCGGATCCATAGAGGCATTCTATTGGAGATAATATTTATTTTATATTACACTATATTATTATTATAAAAATTGTTAACGTCCCGTTTTATTTCATGGATATGGACTTGTCCATGGTATATTTATTTCAGTTATGGTATTGTGATTTATTTTCTAGCTGTCTCTAAGGATTGTAAAAAAATGGTGACTTGAATAGTAAATTTACTCTGTCACCACACTGTGAATAGAGACACTTATGTAAACAGGTTTTTATGCATACAAATTTAAGTCGGTTGAAAAGTATTTAAATGGATATTGTAGATTACCTGTGTGTTCTTGGACCTCGGAAATTCCAGTTAATAATGATGACCGTAACAAGAATACTGACTGTGTTCATAATGAAAGTAAACAGGAGATATTTAGCGATAAGCGGCAGCACCAAAGAAGTAGGCGGTAGAATTTTTGAAACCAATAGCAGGAACACAACCAGTGACAGCAAAATGCTGATACCTAATGTAACCTGGAAAAAAGGCATTTTCTAAATGTTTGTGTTTTAATACATTAGAATAACTTTGATTAAGCAAAGAAATTAAGATAATATACCATGTAATCAACAAGTAAACCACCCAAAGCAAAAAACAGTTTTGAATCTGTCAATATGGAGAATTTATTACCAATGTAATAAACTTTTCCCATTACAGTTTTATTGTGATCTTATCAATACTTTTTATAATTCTGGAAATGGTATATAAACTGACGGTTTTCTGTCTGAAACTGAATGGTAATCATCACTAACATTAACAATGTTTTTTAATCATATAAACTTAAGCCTTTTTGAAAAGTTATTATTTCATTATTCTACTACTCACTCGAAAATAGATAATAAAGTATGTGGTATGCAGCTCATGATACATATTCCTCATGATTTGCTTTTCTTGTGCACAATATGATGTTCTGTCACTTGTAACTGAGATCAATTTTCAGACCGACATAATATAATGTAATTGCAAAAAGGTATGGTTTTTAGATATGACGCAGTAGAATCCAATATTAGTTAATTAGTTATTCAGTTCAGTTCGTTCGTTCAGTCAGTAGGGAGATATAATACATATTTTTTGACACAGAATTTTTATAATAAAATATGCTTACCTTTTCACCAGCTTCGGCGGGCAAATAAAAGACTAGTACGCAAAGAAAGGAGATCAATACTGTAGGTAGGATTAAGTTGACAGTGTAAAATAAGGTTTTCCGTCTTATTATTATGTAGAACGTGATATCGGTCTCTGTGGGGTGGTTTCCCTCATAAATATTCAAATATGCTGGTACTTCGATGATGTCCCATGTACCAGATTTCCAGTAATCTGAGAGGTCAACGAAATTTTTGTTATTGTACAAAGCAAGTGATACTTGATCCCCATTGAATGTCCAAGAACCAAATTTCATGATACATGTTTGTTGATCGAAAGGAAAATATGTTACATCAATAGTGCAGGAACTCTGAAAAGAAGAGAGATGTTATTATTATTATTATTTGTGAATTATTAAACTAAGATTTTGTTTTAATGGAGAATATACCTGGTAGATAGCTGGAGGAACCCAAAGCACTTCACCATTTGGATATATCAAAACGTTAGATTTGTATCGCACCTCGTAGTTTCCATCAGCACTGTAAAATATTAGTAATATTAGAAAATGGTCCATGTTAAGAGACCTTATTACAAAATACAGAAGATATGAATACTGACTTGTTGAAAAGTACTATATCCGGTTTCCATACTTTGTCGGGGGGTAGCCGGAGAACGCCGATGCCGCCGTAGTCTGCTTCATCCCACATTAATTGATAATCCATCCATACTAAACGTAGCCATACGTTTGATTTCATGATTTGATTCTTTTCGTTCTGTTTGTTATAAAAATATAATTTAATATTTGTATATCAATTGTTGGTATTATATATTATTAAGTTATATATGAATTAAGTTTCATCTAAAAAGTTTACAAAAAGTATTGCTCATAAATATTATAAATTAAGTAAATAATTGATTACGATACATAATACAAATAAAAAAAATCTGACAAATTGATTGAAATTTTCGATTCAAATAGTGTTTTTGTATATTGTAATAATTTCAAGAAAACTTGGTTTAAATTTCATTAAATTTTATTAAAATTTGAAGTAGAGTAAACTTTGATCAATTATTACTAAATAGTTCATCATTGTTATTCTATAAATGCTGAGAAATCAACATTATTTATTTATTAATATAAAAAATAAATAATGTTGAATTACGTCTTTATTTGAGAAGGAATCTTATTAGGAATTAAATACGAATTATTCTATATATAATTAGGAACTTACGACATTGATGAGTTGGACGAAGGCGAGGCCAAAACGAACATCGACTTTTTGGGTCATGTTTTGTACAGGCCGGATAAGCTTGTTGTAACCACGGAAAAGATCGCGCACAAGCCGCTCCTCGTCCTCCGAACACCATCCTGAAATATTGTAATATGCGAGTGTTTAATAATGTGCTCGTACTGTATAATTTATATTATTAAAATAACGCAAATAACGACAGAAGGGATATTTGTAGATTTTTATATAGACCTTTGTTATTAGTTTTGCAAACTGCTTCTATTGTATTCAGAATAGACTATTATACTATACTTATATATTATATTCAGAATATATTATATTAGATATATAACTAATCTTACATAGTTGATAGTTTTTTTAATTGGCATTAGATGTAACTCGTGATGCTGCGGCGACAGATCAATAAGAAGCGTACCTATCTAAAGACAAGTGTACACATCTGTGTTTATATAATGTATTTATAAAAATTAAATTAAATTAAATTTATAAACCTATATGTTTGACGAATAGTTAATTAAATAACGTTATATTTAATAGTATTTATATTTAAATAAAATACACACATAATTATAACAATATTATTTAATTATTAGGTGTTTTTGGAAATATATCTGAAATTTAATTATATATTTACTTTATAACAGTTCACTTTACGTTAATTTAAACATTACTGAAGATGCAAATATCGCTTAGTTTTTACTGGTTTAGTTATTACTGGTTTTTGAAGCGGGAATAATGTTACGGAGTATGTATGGAGTGAAACGATTAAGGTTAATATTAATCTAAGATTGATATTAATTTAAGTGTTAAAGTACCTGAATAAAGCAAAGTAAGGATTCCAGCTGCTAGGAGGCACACGCGCGATCCTCCCCTCATGGCGGCGCGCACTGCCGCACGCACCGGGCTGCCGCGCCGCCTGCAATCCGCGCCCTGCACTTTCTTGCATGCCTAACTGCCCGCCCAAACCGTTTCTCTAATTAATTCTATAGTATAATTTATATAATTGATTAAAACCCCTTAAATATAAATGAAAATATTGATGAAAGTGATTAAAATTTGAGTATATAATAATAACAACATAATACTGTTTTATATGAAAACGATTTATATTAATTTTATTATTTTACTGTTACCGTGGAGTACCTAATTTATGTCTTTGATTTGATTTAATAATACCTAAATATATAGCTAGTACAGTTGTCTTGTACTTCTATTAATATTTTTCTATCAATATAACAAGAAAAATTATCTATTGCTTATATTAGTACATGGTATGGCATTAATTAAATTATAAGGAATATAAATTACATTTTTTAATTTTCTACAGTCCTCATAATTGTTAAAGTGTTTGAGGAGTGTTCGTTTGACGATATTGCGCATGTGCAGTTATCCCATGGGATAGCATCGATTGTTCACAGGCATTCGGCTCGGCACTACAGCTCCAGGAAATTGAGTACATTTATATTTAGGTCAAGGTCTCGCTCAAAATTGATATTCTTATCGTGTCGTGTGAATAGAAGTAAATTTATACAATAGGAATATACCCTATATTTGATTTTCATATTTTATTTTAAACGTACATTTTATGACTTGAAATCTTCATAAAATATGATCAAATGTTGTATTCTAAAATATTTTTAATATGTATATTTATGTATACTATTGTAATATTTTTCATCTCATGAAGAGTAATATTCTATTTCAAAAATAAATGTAAACATTAGATTTTATAAAATTGACATAGATTTTGTAAGTAGTAATAGTTGACAATCTGCCTGCCAAGCGTGGCAATTACTGGCAAAATCCCCCAAAGGGGAGTCTTATGTTCAGCAGTGGACAGTTAAAGGCCGATATAATGATGATACGTTTAATAGTACCTTAATAAATAAGGTAGCTTTGGTTATATGACAATTTAGTTATTTTATTCTTGAATAGATTCATTGTACTAACAGTTTTGTTTTCTGAATAAGGAATATGATAGAAGTATAAATAAAATACATTTTTCCTTCGTTTATATTTAATAAACAAAATGCAATTCAGAGTATTAACCCTAACAATTGAACAAATCTTGGAGACAGCAGGTCGTCCCAATGCTGACGAAAGGACGTGGCGCACCGAAGTGTAAACCTTACGTAAGATGCGGTACAAAATGCAGCAGTGTACGTTCGCCCGGTACGCGACGTCCTTTGCCCGGGTCATGAGTCGTCGTACAACCGTTATCGAGTGGTTGATGAGACAGATTAAACAACAATAAATAAATAGGGTGACTGAAAACATTGGGTCATAATCATAGTCGCTCCGCAACTTCCAAAGGACCGTCTACAATTATTGGTAATGTACCTCAGATGAGGAAAACATAGTAGGAGCCTTGCGTGGATACTGTTAACGTTTGAGTATCAACGCAATCGCTCTATCGATTCGACGTTTTCCTCTTAAGAGGTTGACAATGTTTTCTAAAAATAATATAGTTTTATACGGACCTATAATTAGACAATGATTAGGATTTTTCTTTATGTGTAACAGGTCTGATCCAACCTAATCACAAATGAGTGATAGCTGTTTGAGATGGCAGTACACGTACTCGTTAACATACAATTGTCAACAACATTCATACCTGTACTTTCAGCATTATATTTGTATTCACATTAATAAGACGATAAAATAAAAATATATCTAATTATTGGGAAGATTGTGAAGAAATGTGTGAATTAAATCTTAAATGTTTACCTGAAAGTATGATTTTAACCACAATCAAGACTTTGATACGAAGAAAATTTGCATTAAAGCTAATATTATCTCAGCATATTAATAACTGTAACTGTATGGAAAGAAGTATAAACGTGAATATTATGTAATTTATTTAATTATTTTGTATAAGTCGTTCCGAAAGATTCAGGTATGACTTTATTAAAATAATACTTTGTTTAACTACAACTTTTAACGAACGTTTTATTAAGCTATATAGCCATGGATATTTTACCATTTATAACAATATCGACCCGTTCACAACGAGGCATATCACAACCTGTACCAATTGAATCAACATTGTTTGTAAAGTTCTATACTAGCTACTGACACAATACATCCGAAAATAAAGTTAGGGATCATAACCACGATTCACGGAATCGAATAAGAAGGAAACAAAGGGCCTTTGCATTACCGCCCAAACCCTAAACTGTACAATAGATTTTAAGAATCAAGAAAGTTTTAACAAAGTTTAAATTTTAAATGCGATCAGGTCGTTCAATGGTATGAAGGAAGACGTTTTTGTGCTAAAATTTTCAGTTTCTGCCGCAGTCATGGATGAAGACCTCTCGGCGACTACTCTAATATAGGTATGACCTTTTAAAGCATTTCCGGAATGTCGGCTCCTCGTCAAACCGTTACACAGTAGACGCTGGACACGAATTCAACTGATTACAGTGCCAACTGAAAACCACTCATTTTATTAACAAGCATTTACTGACTTGCTAGTCCTTACGTATCTCTGATATTTACCTTGATTTTCTTAGGTTCAACGACGACCACTTGTAATATTTTGGAAAGGAGTACCTCAATTTGAGTGGGATAGGTCAGACGATAATAGAGAATTCAGGAAGGTAGTAGTAGTAGAGGTTCGTTTGAGCGCAGGGGATGGCAGTCAGCGGTAACTTATATCTACAGGGGGCGCGGGCGTCGAGGCAGGCGGCGGCAACTTCGGCACCGCGGCGTCAGCGCCCGCGCCGTTTCGCACATCACAACTTAACAAGTATTCGCGGTATCACAGAACGTTACGCATGCGCAGCCGCAGGCGGGCGGGTCGCTACGACACCATGATGTGTGGCGCGGACAGCAGCACGGCTAGCGTGGCGATGATTGTGAACAGGGTAAAGATAATAAGGCACAGTCTGTCCACGACCATGGCGGCAAACTTCCAGTCGCGCGAAATGTCCGCATCTTCGTCATCTTTGCGCATCTGAAATAGAATGATCTCGATAATGTTCAATTCTTAAATTTGAGATTAAGATAGACATTTGTGTTCATTATATTTATGAAACTTATACTTATTCACATTACATATGATAATAAAATGTGCTAATTGCCTGATCTGTGATGACTCGAAGCTCTTTGAGTATGAGCGAGAGCTCGTAGTCGACACCGAAACAGCTGTGCGCAGCCAACCCTGCGCCGTTTTCTTCGCCCCCCCTGTAACAGACAGGGCTCTGTAGCCGCCGTTCATACTTACGGTCTATCTACTGGTAGAGCTGAGGAACGAAGGGTACTACGGGATTTATGCTCAGAGATTATGTTCAGAGATGTAATTTGAAAAGACCCAAGACCCAAGAGAAAGCTTTAGATGATTATAAAATGACAGTGAGTAATGTAAACTATCGTTAATTAAGCTGTTAGGGTCGGGTTTACTGCGGATCGTTCGAGGCGGGGTTGTAGTACTTTAACCGTGCTATTTACGGCGAGTAGTGTTCGTGTAGATCGTCGAGGGACCTGTAGTATCGGCAGCAGGGCGGCTGCTGCGCGTGCGCGTGCCGGAAGTCGTCGTCGATGTCGAGCACGTTGGCCAGCAGCGACTTGGAGGAGCGCTCGCGCAGCTCCAGGTCGGGTGGCGGCGGCGCCCGCGCCGGGGGCGGCGTCGCCGCCGAGCCCGGCCGCGACATGCGTAGGATCCATGGCAGCCAATACAGGAATACACAGCGAATCTAAAAGTGAACAACTTAGTAAGTAAAGAAAAAAGGAAATTATTATCAAGGTATGTTTGTACGAGTATAAGCACAAAATTTTATCATTTATCTACAGTAAGCTAAGCCTGTTTTGTTAAAAAAAGTATTTGTTGTATAGAAATTAAATATATGATTATTTATATTTTTTTAAAGATTGTTTAATTAATTATTAATGTTAAATTATTTGAGTAAAAATTTAATTGGCAATCGAATAAGATTTTATAGTACAGTTGATAGGTCAAAAAGGTAATAAAAGGTATAAATATGTTCAACAATATTTATATATTAAAATGTAAGTTTATTATAAGCCAGCTACTCTCTAATTTTCTAGTTTACATAGTAATTATGAGAAATCTTTTCTTAGTGATAATAATTAGAAAAATATTTATTTACGTGATCACTTATTTTATATATGGTATCTTTGAGCAAACTCCATAATTCTGCTGTGCATTGTACAACAGTTTCAGTCAGTCTGTTTCTCTTGTTATTAGATAGGTAAATATATAGATTTAAATGGTTATCGGAAGATGATCCAATCGTACAAAACATATAAATACCAACCCAGTCGCTCATTTCATGTGTATCTGCATGCCGGTGGTGGTAGTTGAGGATAAGTATAGTAGAGACGACAGAAGATGCCACCATAAACATGATGCAATTAAAATACGTGCCCAGTAACGGGACCGCATCAGAGGTCGCCGGCATGGTCTCAGCTACCATGTTCAGGAACACCGTCAGTGACAGTAAAATTGTAACACCTGTATTAGATAAAATACAAATGTCATAGGGGATTATTAGTAATAAGCCTAAATTATTGCTGAATTATACAAAAAAAAAACTCGACAATTATAATTAAGAATTCGATATAATTAATATGGAATTACCAAGAGAGTGTACTGTTTTGATTAAAAAAAGGTCATTGCTAACATTGTTATTAACTTATTGTTGTTACTGTATGTTTTAGTGCAATAAAGAGTACATATATATATATATATATATATATATATATATATATATATATATTAAAATTGATGAAATTATCATGTTTCATATAAAAGAATACAGCTGGAGTAAAACCTCCCTTTTTCGATGTTAGTTGAAAATATATAATTTTTTGTATATACTCGTATATTACAAGGTATTGTCATGTCAAACATATGATCGTATCTAGATGAAGAAAAATAATTTTTCTATGCTTTTAAATATCAAAATCAAAGTTTTATAATAATATAATGTATTTTTTTTACTAATAAATAATGTGATCTTTTATTGTCTTCACTATATATTTCGGACTGATAAATTTATATTATGATTCTGCACATTTGACAGTGTAATAAAAAATCTTGTAAAATGGAAACAAAACATGTGTTTACAAGAAAACTAATATTAAACACCTACCTAAAGATAATTTTTCGCCGGAGTCTGGTGGTAATGTAAAACCCAGTAGCGCCATAGACGCAATGAGGACACATGGCACAATCAGATTGAAGAAATAGTAGAGTGTTTTCCGTCGGATTACCACTGCGAATGTGATATCAATATATGGCTCCGGGCAGCAATTATAGTATATTTCGTTGCGTTTGCCTGGTACACCTGTTAGAAAAACCTCATTGAGTAATCAACTATTTATTACACTGTTTTATTTTTAATACCTACATATTACATTGTAGGTAGGTACTACAAAGTAATTATTTTATTATTTATTACACTGAGGTTGGTATAGAAATTCATGGCTCTCCTACCGTCTGTTAGAACTGATCTTTTCACGAAATATCCCACGTGAATTAGGATAAATTTTATTCAAATATAAGTAAGTATGTATTAGGATAATATTACAGACATCAGTAGTAGAAAAAGTAGTAAAGAAAGACTTTATACTATTAGGAATTTTGTTGTGTTTTAATAGATTTAACATTTGCTTTCTGTATAAGGCATATAAGTAATATTCTGGAATTCTGTTAGAAATAAAATGATGACTTTTTACAATTTCGTCATTAATTGATAGTACAAGTTACTTAAAGAGTACAGTGTGAGACAAACCTATGAGTTCCCATTCGCCATTTGTAACAAAACTACTTATATCTCCACCTGCCTCATCTTGTAATTGAAGGTCCAACTATAACAAAAGTAATTAGTGGGTGTCATTATTTAGTCAAAGTTAAAGTTGTTAAATTTTATGTAGAACTTTAAAAATGAAACTGTTTACTTGATATCCGTCATAAGTCCAACTGCCAAACTTCATTTCGCACCGCTGGTCGTCAAAAGGGAACCAGGTGATGTCAATCTTGCAAGTGCTTTTGAAAATGCCTGGTGGTACATACAAACATGAGCCGTTGTTTCGTACCACCACGTTCGTTGGATATGTGCTGTCGAATCCTTCATCCGCGCTTTAAACACAACATTGCATTAAAATAATTCCATTATTTTGTTCACAAAATAATAGGGTCTAATATAATCTTTACATTACAAAGATTTTTTTTAATAAATGTTGTTAATCTACCTGTTGTACATAAGGACATCCGGTTTCCATAGCCTGTGAGGCGGTACTCGTAAATCTTTGACTCCGCCGAAATCCGAAGTGTTCCACCTCAGGTTCATATCATTCCATTCCTGTATGAAAAACAACAAGTATAATAAAATAAAATATATCTCAGTTTTAATCATATAAATTTATTTTAATTAATTTTTCGTTACTTATGTTAGTTGTCAGCATATCAATATTTTATATTTTGTCTGATTATTAGTTAAATAAAAACAAATTATTTAAAATAATTTATATTAATTTGTTTTCTTCACAATATCCTATTTTGAATAATAACTCAAAAATATATTGATTAATACTCATCGCGTACAAACTGAAATTGAAGAAGGTTATGATAACTGTTTGTCATTACAAAATTGTTTTGTTGGTAATGAATTACATTCAATCCATACTAATGGACGATACTGTATACTATGCCTATAGTTTAAATCAATAGACGAATCGACACATGTATGTTTGTTCCAAACACGGTATCTATTTTATATTAGAGATACTTCCTGTTTTGCTCAATTCACTAATGTTATTAGATATTGATAAACTTTAAATATTAGGTGACAGATCACTGCTAGTTCTGTTAGTTTTAATACTGGCTGTTGACACTGAGGTTTTTTAGAACAATGTATTATTTTTTGGTTTGTCCTGTGTCAGGTTTTCATAAAACGTGTCTTGTGTTTTTTCACTAAACTTATTATTTTATATCACAAATACATGTATGTTTATTACTGTACTCTTTTTCTTACAATAAGTTCTGTCATAATTTAAAAGCGACTTTATAAAGGAAATTCATTTTAGATCGTCTGTATTTTTTGTATGTTTGGCGATATTATTGTCAACGCAATCAATTACGATATTGGGATCGATAGGGTTTGTTCAAGTGTTTGTCCCATACTAATTTTGTAAAGACCGAAGTTGTTATTTTTTTTTTGCGGAGAAAATTATATTTTTTTTAATTATAAGTGACAATAATAAGGTCATAATAATGTTGTTGTGTATTTGCTCACTATATGTAGTCGAACATGGTATAATAAGTTTTTTTTCAATCTTATAAAGTAATATGTAATTATAAGAAAATAGAAGCTGCAGTTAGATAGTTGACTGGACTTAGTAATGTAGATCCAGTGTTATTAATGCTAAAAATATAGGTAATTTAAGAATTGGGAAATATAAATTTCTTTTAGAATTTAATTAATTCAATATATACTTACTAGTTTAAGCCAGATGTTTGTTATTAATAGCTGGTTCTTCTCGTCCTGTGAACAAAACTTCTAATTTATTCATTTCTTTAAGAGCTTTTATGTTTTTTTTATAAGGTCAATGACACAAAATATCTTATTTACAACTGTACAAGTTGTTTGTACGGAAATATATATCATCATTATCATCATATCAGCCGTTAACTGTCCGATGCTGAACATAGGCCTCCCCCATAAGAAGGGATTTGCCAGTAGTTACCACACTTGGTAGGTGGGTTGGCAATTGCAGTTAGGCTTTGATGATGTTTTAAGAAAGACGCTGCTGCCCATTTCTCGACGCTTAAAAGGAAGAGAAAAGGGAGAGGTGGTTAATTCTGTGCTGGGTCACATATAAATATATAATTGGAACTGAAATAACAGTTCCTAATTTTAATATAAAGAATTAATATTTATGAATGTACTACCTATTCGTATATTTTTCAGAATTATTAACTGCGAAATACTACTTGTGCAACACTTCATAATGTTATTAGGATTCCACAAATTAATAATGACAAAATACATACAATAAAAATACATATAATAAAAATAAATCTGCGGTTTCTATGATTGATATCTTTCCCTCTCATATCCCACTCCGAAGAACCACACTAAGTTTAAAACTTCTTATTCCAGGGGTGTGTAAATTAGCAAATTTTTGTGGCCATTATGTGTTTCTCTATTTTTGACTTTAATCTTATAAAGTAAATTCTTCTGACCATAGATATCTACTTTGTGCAAACAATTTCCACGTGAAATAGATGCAATCAATTGCCACGTCTATTTAAATGCAATCTAAACTCTATAAATATGTTTTTGCCTGACACTGTGCTTCTATCAGACATTTATTATATATTATTCATGTAGAGCTTTTATATCAAGTTTTAAATATGCTGTGTATAAAACATTATTTTGATTGTAGAGATATCAAGACAGCCGTTTCTACCAAAATACATTTCACACACACAAATGTTGTACCCCATGTATGTTGAATGAAAAAAGGAATCTTAACTTCGCTGTAGTAGTTTATGTTGGCGGAGTATCAGTGAGAGATGATAAAGGATAATGAAGTCAGGCCAGTTGATCTAATGTAATGTAATTCACTACGAATGTACCACGATTCTTTCCAGGGAAATTGCGTGGAGGTCGATCCAGTAATGTTTCCAGTAACGAGGCACAACCTTGATAAAGTAAGATTAAAGTACAAGTGTAAACGATACGTTCGTTACGATATGCTAACCGTATCAAAGAGAAGCACATATACAAATTCAATAGCGAGAACTGTCCCCTGCTACACCAGCGTGAACATATTGGCACATAGTAAGACTTCACTTATACATTGATTTTGCACATTAGAAACAAAAACTGCGTATGTCATATAACAAATTCGAGAAAAAAACCTTACCACGTCAATGATCTGCATGAGCGTGAGGCCGAAAGAGAGCTGCAGCGGGTCGCTCTCGTTGACCACGGGCCGCTCTAGCACGTTGTAGTGATCCAGCAGGTGGTGCAGCAGCCGCTTTTCGTGGTAGCCGCCGCGTGCTCCTGCGCATTCACCATTTGATATTTTCAATTGATTCCAAGAGGTTCTTAATTTGAGTGTAAACTTATTTTTATATTTCATACAAAATCATCCATAAATCTTGCCCAATCACAATGATTATTTTTTAAACATTTATTTACGATTAGACATTTGGCACTTTATTACTCACAAATCGTAATAGAACTATTATTAAGATATAACTACCATATTCCAATAATAATAATAACTATTTTCTATCTGGTTACACATTACTTGAAGTTATTTTCTTATAAAATTTGAACCCCAATTTTTTAACATGTGTATAAGTCACATGAAAAAGATATAACCATCAAATTATATCTAACGATACTAAAACCTTATAAATTGTCCGACTCATGCAGAGATTAAAAAAAGTTTAGGGTATTATAAAATTTAATTAAAAGTACTTTGGAAGGGAAACGAATACCCCACAATTTAAAAAAAATACTAATAACCATCATAAAAGTGAATGAATTCTTTATGAAATTTTCCTGTACTGATATTTTAAAGAGGAAAGATTTATTTGTTTGTATTTGTGTTTGTTTGTAATGGATAAACTCAAGAGCTACCAAATTGATTTAAAAATTCTTTCATTTATAGAAAGCTACATGATCAACGAGTAATACAGGCCATATATTATTATTAAAAAAACAGAGATGCCTATGTAAATTATAATAATGTAACTTAAGGTTTAGTGCCTTTTAAAGCTAATATAAAATACAAATTTCCTTTATATTTATTAGTACGAAGCCAAGGCGTGTAGGTATTTTTCTATAATTAACAATTACAATTAATTATTGAACTAGTATACCTATAAAACTCTGATAGTATTTTAAAAAGATAGAACCGATAAGATATTAAATACTTTATAATAAATGGGAACAATAATTTGCTCGTGAGAACAATGATTTCAGAACTATATTTCAAAAGGCCTATATATCAGATTGTCGCCCTAAATTTCGGTCTATGTTATCAGATGCTTATTCTCTTTTCAAAAAACACTTTGTCGCTTGTCTGTTAAATGCTCTTCAAGTATATCTTGATCGATCGAGTGTCACTGTTAGCCGAGTGGAGTATTCTTTTGTGGTAAAATTTTTGCTTGTTCCGACAGCATGAAATTCTTTGATATTATTTGTGACTAAGCACATTTCAGGAAAAATAGGAGCTCAACTGCTCATGTGGAGATAGAATTGTTACTTTTGTGGTTACATAACACGTACAAAAAATACGTAATATTTTAATAATACTTGATTATTAATTTAGAAATCTTTGTTTTACAAACATTACATTATCTGTGCGAGTAGAGTACAAAGAAGTAATTTTTTATGTATTTAACTTTATGACGGTAATTTAGCTTCTGTGTTTTATTTATTTTAAATATTTTAATTAACGTTTCACAAAATGTGTGTGAAAAATTAAGAACTATTCAAAATTTATTTTGACGTAAGCTTTTTTTAAGTAGATTATATAATGGTTAGTACATTATTTATAAGTTGCTTTTTTAACATTTTTAAGCTGTTTATTCTTTAACGTAAGATAGCAAAATTTTTATTACAATTTTTAATGTTTGTTTGTAAAATATATTTTTATAGGTAATGTACAAAGACCCAAATCGGGGCATAGTTCCTTATCTTCCTTGTCTTTAGGGGGTCAAAATACATATTTAAAGTGGATATTGATTTTTTTATTTATTGCTATAGAATAAGTTTGATTATATACTTGAGATTATTTCCTTTTTGTATTACAAATGAAATAGTTTGTTTTTAGTAGACTTATAGAGAAAAAATTATGTCTATAAATATATAAAACTAAATTGTGAAAAATCTAAAGACATGAACTGAGTCTTTATTGTTAGAAGCCACAACAGAAATAATTTCTACCGTTCACCCGTATACATTCGACCATTTATTACGGATTGATTGTCAAATCCTTATTATAACCAAGATTTGATTTAAAAAGACTTTTCTTATATGGTCATGTCTATATTACATATTCACTTGGTGAATATAAGTTTTTTGTTTTTTTTTTTATTTGCCGAGACATTGGGATGGTGGTTACATTTTTAAGTCTTGCAGCTATATGGTATGGTGCTTACCCCTCGGCCACAGCAGGCCCAGAAGCAGCAGCAGGCCCGCGGGCGCCGCCAACAGCGAGCGGCGCGCCCGCCACCCCATGTCAGCGCCGCGACGCCGCCGCCCCGCGCGCCGCCGCCGCCGCCGCCGCCGCCCCGCCGCGCCGCGCCATCACCCGCCCCGACCCGCGCGACACCGACCCCCGCCTCCCTACGCCGCACTCCCGCCTATTCGGATCTATCAAATATGATCGGTTTAAAATTCAATCCTTTAATGGTTTTCATAAATCGAACTTTCTTCACGACCGCTCGCCGACGGCCACGAGTGCCGTCCGATTCACGAGCATCGCCGGCAGCGCCGCGGGTATGTTCTTCGAGTCACGGCGTGTTTTTGAGCATTGTTGTTCAGCGGAGTGCGGCCGACCGTGGGGCAGCGGAGCCGCCGGTGTGCGGACTGGCGGAGGCGCCGCGGGCGCGCAGCCGCGCCGCCGCCCATTCAAGCGCCGCCCGCCGCCCGCCGCCTGCCGCCCGTTGCCGCGCACCGCGCGTCGAATGTCCTCAGCGCCGCCGCCGGGCCGCTGCACGATCCTCGCGCCGACCTTGTCATCTCCCTCGCAGCCCTGCCTGCACGCGGTCCATGCTCGTTGTCGCACCATCGCACCCGCACCCGCACCCGCACCCGTTTACTACCACCATCTGTTTTTATTACATTAATTATTTCAACTTATGCAAAATTAATCATCTTTAAGTTTAATATTTTCTTAAATATTAAATTGATCGTCTTAAAGTATAATTGTAACTATTAATAAATTGTATCGACTCACATATTAATATACCATATATTATAAAAAATGTCTATATTGATCTGAAGTAACATAAGTAAAACATACGAATCTTTGAAGATAAGTGTAGACCTAAATAAAAAAAATATTTAAATTACCAAATTAGTTTTCAGTTTATTTCTAAGAAGTATCATAGAAATTAATATATTATTAGTTAAAATACGATGTGAACTGCACTAATAGCTCTGAGTAATTAGGTATATAACGATCTGTTATACAGTAATAAATAATTGAGAAATTACGTGGCGTAAAGCTATGCCTCCTTAAACTGATTACTCTCATTCTGTAGGTCAGTCATGATGGATTTTCAAAATCTAGAGATTAGTGGTTCAAGTATTATGGTTATGTTCAGCGAAGCTTGCGGGACGCGGTGCGGTCCAGGCGCGGGGATGCTGCGCGCGGTGCGATCAATGAGGGAGAGCTCGTCTCCCTGATGCCCCCGCCCTTTTGCCCCGCCGCCACCTCTCTCACCTCCGCTCCTATACACAGAACCTACCCAACACCTACGAAATTTCGAACTCGAACATTAACTTAGGAGATAACAGCTAACGTGAGAAGTGCAACATAAAAGAGGGACATTCGATAGACATTTCATGGTAAGATTTCTGGTCCCGTCTTTAGCAATCATGGCCTTATAACTATAAATAAGAATTAAGTTTCATTTAATTATTTATTTTATATTTCCAATAAAACCTTCTAAATTATTTGAGCAAGATAAAATGATAAAATGCAGAAAGTGTAGGTGTAGGTTTGTTAAGATGATCTAGTGATACCATTTACCGAACCGAACCGAACAACTGCTTGGCTAGGTTTATTATTGCAAGTCAAACTTTTAACATTCTAAGATATTGATAATGCCACAAACAGATATTGTGTTGTACTTAGGCAGGAAGTTCAAAATCAAATATGATATCAAGATGCGGCACGGGAATTGCTATGTTTACGATTGGTGCAGCAGAGTCTGATTATAAAGGCCGTTTAATCATTACCATACCTACGTCTTTTAGCGCCTGTAAAAAAAAGTATTTTTATTATCTACGTAAATGCTCGTAACAAAGTATATAGAAAATAGAACATATATTTCGTAAATGGTTGTAGAATTTACGAAAATAAAATTATAATTGAATTTAGAAAATTTGTAGAGTCACGTCAATCAGTCAGAAAGCTTTATCCGAATTTGAATTGAACGTGCGTATTCGAAAATTTTTTCCTAATACATGTTATATTTTATTTAAATTTTCTTAAGGCTTTCTCTGCGCACAATTTCCTTCAAGTTCAGCTGTGAATTGATCAGTCAGCCAGTCTATATTCACAGTTGGTTGAAACAGGCGCATAATACTAATTCTATTGAACTTGATTATAAAGAAAATACGTTCATTTACAAACCTACTTTCAGCGCCTTTAGTGTTTTATTTTGATGGGTGAAAATGGTATGGTAACCCCGCCTGTGCTAATGGGATACGCTGGCGGAGCACCAGTGAAGGGTGTAGATGAGAATGAAAACAGGCCAGTTAGCCCATCATGATGAATTCTTCAGGAATTAACAATGATAGTTTCCAGGGGGAACCGCGAGGAGGTCAAATTGGTTGAGTATATTGCTAGCGATGGGGTCTCCACAACTAACAATCCCTTTCCCCCCGCCTTTAGTGTTAGAGCTAAATAGTTGCTTCTATTATTCTTCTTCTATAATCTTAATAATAACAAAACAATTCAATATAAAATAGAACAGCAGGGTAATATTTGGAGCATTAAAAGTGGTATCGTATCGAAATCGCATCCAATTTTAATGTTAAATCGCCGTATATTTCCGGCATAGAAATGACCACCTCTTTCTTTCTTTCCCGTAGACGTCGTAAGAGCTGAAAAAGGGTACTTAGTAGTCAAGGGATGTGTAGTAGAATCCATTTTTAAACATCACCAAAGCATAATTGCGGTTGCCAACTTGCTTGACAAGCGTACTAACTACTGGCAATACTCTCTGATTCTATGAGGAGGCCTATGTTCAGCAGTGGATGATTAACGGTGGATAAGATGGTGATGATACGTTAAATACCTCAGCTTAAATGATATCAATTCGATTGCATAAAACAAAGTAATTTTTTTATACAACTTAGAATGGCAAAGAAGCTGACAGCCCACCTGATAGAAAGTGGTAACCGTAGTCTATAGACATGAGTAATATCATGGATATAACGGAGTATATTCATTTCCATTCTTTATTACTACTACCACTATTACTCATGACAGATATACGGCCCCACATGGAGTACATATTATGAATTCTTCGACTCAATGCTATGACGAGCTATGAGTATTGTCGATGATCCCACGCTTATAAGCGGTATCGAACCTTTAAGTCTTAGGAGAGATTTTGCCTCACTCTGCGTGTTTTACTGCTTGTATTAGAATTAGAGTATGCAGAGGAATTTATCTATATGATGCCTACCGCCACTTTCTACCATCGTACGGCTCGCCATCGACAGGGAGTTTATCCTCATACCCTACACCCTAAATGGTAGCGTACAACGCAGTTTCAGGGACGTTTTCCCTACGAACACTCAAGTTATGGAATGAGCTCCCTTCCGAGGTTTTTCCAAGAGACTACAGCATGGGGTTTTCCAAAAGGTGGTAAAGAAGTTTCTTCAGATTCGGTAACGCGCGCGTTATTGTTACCCTTGGTATTGCTGGCGTTCATAGGCTACAGTAACTGTATAAAAAAGTGTTTTCTGGTGCTCACATGATTCTAAGCTGTCTGCATTATTTTTAAATAAACCAAATATGAATTTGAAAAATTTAAAGGTTTTTGGCAAGGATTTGACTTGAGGATCTCCAGATAGCAGTGCGGCATTATGAAATTGAACTATACACTAGTTATGCATTCGAATGTCATAATAAAAAAATAGAGACACAGACAATGGTATAATTATATACATAATTATTATGATTCTGTGGCATAACTATCAGTATATAATTTAGGGCGTTAATGGAGTGAGAATATACTATGTCATAACATCTTAATATTCCCAGGATATCGTAAGTAAATATACACAAGGAAAATAAACGGAATTATGTAAAAGAAAATATGAATCAAGATCAAGCTGAATAGAAAGAAAATATGTTGACTACAAACAAAGCGACAGGGTCTTTATTTAATGGATAAAAATGGAATGGTAACCTCGCTTGTGCCATCACTATATGCTGGTAGGACTCCAGTGAGGAAGGATAAGTGAGAATGAAGTAGGTTAGTTGATCGTCATAAATTCATTAAAAATTAACCATGATGGTTTCCAGATAGAATCGCGTGGAGGTCGGTCTCATTACTAATAACACTTATAATAATAAATGGTATAAGTATTATTTATCTTTGTCAAAGAATTATAGAACATGGGACTATATACAGAAGTTGGAGCTCTTTTTCAATTTGAAAAGTATAATGAGTTTTATAATAAAACTTTATTTATTTTTTATCAAAATTTTTAAATGTTATTTTTAATAATTATTTTATTTAACTTAAAAATTATTGTTTACTTTTTAAATTAATAATTTTAGCTAGCTTGTTTGCTATTCTAAGTTGTATAAAAAAGTTGTATAATTTTTTTTTTAATTATTACCTTTTCTACCGACATAAACTGAAACGTCAAATTTTTTCAAATTTTTTTTCCGGCCAAACTGTTTACTCTGTTGATTTAAAATAGTCATATCAGTCGTCGAATAATAAGTGTAGTTTAAATAATTGACAATTTTATACGAAAATTTATGAAATATAATGTTTACTAGATGTTCATTTAGTAACAATTTGGTTATCACGCCATTTTGCAATTTAAGACCCTTAAATATAAGAATTCTAATAGAAAACTCTTAATTATGTGTGTTGCAAATACAAAGTATTTATGATCCTATTAGGAAACACGCAAAGTGGTCATTTCAGTTCTCTACTAGTTACATTGTGATACAAAATGAAAAAATATTTTTTTTATTATTATTAATAATGATTTAGTTATATTTAAGCAATCGATTGTGTATTTTTCACAATATAAAATAATCAAATAATGATCATTATATCTTAGGATATTATAGTCTAAAAGAGATAGTTTGTGAGTTACAAGAGTTACTACAAATTAATTTTATCAATAAATAGTTATTGGTATTTGCAATGTATATATATAAAAATAAACATTTGAGATTTTTATATAAATTTTTGTTCAACTTGCTACGCCGTAGACACAGGTTTACATATATAGGTACACGAGATCTTTTCTTCTTAATCGACTTCAAAAAGAAGAAGGTTCCCTATTCGTTTGTATTTGTTTTGTTTG